TTAACTTAGTATTATGCTTCTCTTTTAATGGCCAACATTTGGCACCATAAAGCATTGCAGGCCTCACGACCATCTTATAGAATTTTCCCTTAAGTTTGAGGGGTACTTTTCTATCACACAACAAGCCTGATGCATTCCTCCACTTCAACAATCCAACTTGAATTTTGCTGATAATATCCCCATCTATTTCACCATCACTCTGAATAATAGATCCAAGATATCTAAAACGTGTACTCTTATTAATGACTTGATTGCCCAAAGTCACAATCCCCTCACTAGGTCTATTACTACTAAAATTACACTCCATATATTCTATTTTAGATCTAATAAAGCAAAAACCTTTAGACTCTAAAGTTGACCTCCGTAATTCAAGTTTACCTTCAACTCCCTCTCTAGTTTTATCAACAAGAAGAATATCATCAGCAAAAAGCATACAACAAGGTACATCCTCTTGCAAATGTTTAGTGAGAACACCATGACTAAAGCAAAAAGATATGGGCTTAAGGCTGATCCTTGATGTAACATAATCGAAATAGGGAAGTACTCGGTCAAACCACCTTGTGTTTGAATACAAGTAATAGCTCTTGCATAAATATCTTTAATGATTTGAATATAAGTCTTATTAACTCCTTTCTTTTCAAGAACTCACCATATCACTTATCTTGGAACTTTATCATATGCTTTTTCTAAATCAACAAATATCATATGTAGATCTTCCATGTTTTCTCTATATTTCTCCATCAAACCTCTTAATAATTGTACGGCATCCATAGTCGACCTACCCGGCATGAATCAAAATTGATTTTGTGAAACATTAGTATCCTGCCGCAATCTATGCTCCATAACTCGCTCCCATAGCTTTAAAGTATGACACATTAACTTTATTCCTCTATAATTCGCACAATCATGTGCATTACCTTTATTCTTAAAAATAAGAATTAACACACTCATTCTCCACTCATATGGCTTCTTTATAGTCTTCAAAACAGTATTAAAAAGTTTAGCAAGCCAATAAATTCCTTCATCTCTTAAGCATTTCCCCACGTCTATTGGAATATCATCAAGTCCAACAGCTTTTCCACCCTTAATATTCTTTAAAGCCTCTCTAACTTCGGTTTTACTAGTAATATTAGATAAAAATAGAAATCTTTATTTTCATTTAGGGTACTAAGGTCACTACAATTAATCTTATTTTCACAATATTCATTAACAAGTTTAGTAAAATATCTCATCCACCTTTGTTGAATATCATATTCTAAGAAAAATATTTTTTGATCTTTATCCTTAATACACTTCACTTGAACTAAATCCTTACTACTCGTATATCTTTGTTTGACTAACTTATACATATATCTTTCTCCTTCCTTAGTTTCTAGTCTATTGTATAAATCACTAAAAGCTAATGTCTTTGCATCACATATTGCTTTCTTAGATTCATTACGAGCCTCTTCATATCTAATAAATTATACATAAGCCGAATCTCCATAAAAAAACTTATCAGATATTATAATTGTAAGTCCTATTTAACCCTACTTGTTGCTTATTTTCAAACCAGGGATTGAGGAGGAAGATTGAACTTGCTAGGGAGAGAGATTGACTGTACTACCTAGAAGAGTCAAACAAATCCAATATTACCAATTATGGATACTCTATGTTATCCCAATTTAATAAAAAATCTACTATTTAACTTCATCATTTTAGATCAGGAGATCCATCTTTTGATTTCTTAAAAATATTTATCCAAAACTTTTTTTATAAATTAAAAAATGAAATTTTTTATTGTGAAATCTGTGAGTTAGCCAAGCATAAATGAGTTTCTTTTCCAAACAAAAATAAAAGATGTCAAACTCTCTTCTATCTTATACATAGTAATATCCGTCATGAGGTTTGGATAAGTATATTCAAGGCATACAAATCCAAACTATGTTCCAGAGCAAATCCAAGAATCTGAACGGTCTCTTGAAATTGAGGTAAACACAAGTTCACCTAAAAAACTTCCATTGTACCCCATAACTAACTTTGTATCCTTCCATAACTTCTAATCTTCACACAAAAATTTTCTGTTCATACTCAATGATATTCATAATAATATTTCTGAGACCTTATTTGATAAAAATTAGAAAAGTGTCATAAAAGATGAAATGTAGACCTTGGAGAAAAACAATACCTAGGAGATCGCCATCCTACCAGTAGGGAAAAAATCAGCCAGCTGCAAATGGGTGTTCTCTGTGAAATACAAAGCTAATGGTACACTTGAAAGGTATAAGGCAAGACATGTAGCACAATGGTACACTTAGACGTACGGAATGGACTACCATGAAACTTTTGCACCTGTGGCCAAGATGAACACCGTGAGGATCCTGCTCTTACTAGCAACTACCTATAACTGGCATCTGGAATAGCTCGATGTCAAAAATGCATTCTTACACAAGGACTTGAAGGAAGAAATATTTATGTAGATTCCACCAAGACTCAAGAAAAAATCTTGAGGTGACAAAGAGTGTCGGTTAAAAAAAGCTCTATATGGTAAAACAGTCACCTAGAGTTTGGTTTGGAAGATTCTCAAAAATTGCTCTACTCAATGGTTATCGACAAAGCCAATGGTACCATACATTTTATTCAAGCACTCAGACTTAGGGGAAGTCATAGTTTTATTAGTTTATGTGGGTGATATCATCTTGACTAGGGATGATGAAAAGGATAAAGCGATTCTAAGGAAATGTCTTGATAAAAAAATTGACATCAAAGAACTTGGTAGATTAAAATATTTCCTTGGAATTGAAGTGACCCACTCCAACAGAGGAATTTTAGTTACACAACAAAAATACATCAATGATATTCGTAAAGAAACATGTAAACTAGCTTGTAAACTAACACCAACACCAGTAGAATCAAATCTCAAATTTGGAGAACTTAAAGAGATTCCATACATAGATAAGGGAGCTTATCAAAGATTTATGGGAAAATTGATCTGCCTTTCCCAAACTAGACTAGATATAGTCTTTGCTGTAAGCATGGTCTGCAGTTCATTTAAAATTCAAAGCAGACTCATATATAAGCTATAGACAGAATACTGCACTACATTAAGGTGAACCCTATAAAGGGACTCTCCTCAGAAAGATACTGTGGAATAACCCCAGAAGAATACTGATGCATATTACGCAGGATCACCAGTAGATAGATGATCTACCTCAAGATACTGTACACTCATTGGAGGAAATTTTGTTACATGGAGGAGCAAGTGGTGGTAAGGTCTAGTGCAGAAGCATAATACATAGCTATGACTTTGGGAATATGTGAGCTACTATGAATTAAGATGATTCTAGAAGACCTAAGAATCAAGTGGGAAGGATCCATGAAGCTACATTGTGACAATAAATCAATAATCAACATAGCTCACAATCTGGTTCAGCATGACATGACCAAGCACATTGAAGTGAACAGACATTTCATAAATGAGAAATTAGACAGTGGTTTTATATGTATTTACCATGTCTCATCACAATATCATCTTGTAGACATTCTTGCCAATGAACTTGATAACTTTACCTTTATGGGATTGATTACCAAGCTGGGAATGACAGATCCATATTCCCCAGCTTAAGGGGGAGTATTAAATCCCAACCGTCCCTTGGCACTTGATCGCACGTCTAGGGTGGGAATCCGTGGGAGGCTCACTTGGATCACGCTGATCTCCTTCCAAATTTATGTGGCTGATTTAGGAAGGATTATATTTTGGCAATTATGTATTATTCCATAATTATTTGTCTCTTTATTAAGATATCTTGTATATATCTATAAATAGGGATAGATTTGTGGTAATTGAATTTAACAATTTTCATCTGACTTAAAGATGCATGGATCACGGACTAATGCATAATAGATAATAGACAATGTACTTTTCAACATTCTTTAGCATTGGTGGCTTGTTGTGTGTGTGTGTATATATATATATATACACACACACACAACAAGCCACCAATGCTAAAGAATGTTAAAAAGTACATTGTCTATTATCTATTTTTTTCTTTCTTTGGTCTATTTACGCACATAATGCCGAAATATTCCTTATTTACAAAATTAACACCCAATTATTTTTTTGAATGCCAAACTGGTGTATTTACATGTGCCATGATTAAATTATTGAGAATTTGACAAAAGCTAAAAATAATTGTTGGAAATTTCTTGTGAATTTTGATATTTGGCTGAGAATTTTACTTCACCGGTGTGGATAGGAGGTTTCCTGGCTGGCTGCTAGTTTGGGTGGTGTCCAACAGCTGTTTTCAGGAAGGACAGCATCCTGGTAGTGCTAAAAAAGTAAAACATTAGGGAAATACAATGCAATTAACTTAGTGGAAAGAGTTGAGCTTCCATGTAGAACTAATCTTGCAATATTAAGCCTCACTCTAATACGAAAAAGTATGCAAGATGGGAAGCTTGTGGTCATGGTTGTGCTATAATTTGGAGGAGATGGGATGGGAAATATGAACGTTGAGATGCTATAGCCTTGAAGAGTGCACTTCATGTTCAATTGTGTGAAGGAATCCAAAATTGGGAGGAGATTAAAAGTAGTGAGTGAGGGATCAATATCGAGAGACAACAGAGATTGAGACTGTAGGTGTGACCAGCAAACATGTAATCAATAATCATCCCATCATTCTATGGCAGCCTTAGGGATCCTTTTATAGGAAAAAGGGTCTTAGGGTACTAAAAAGAAACAACCTAAAACACATTATAGAGTGGCAACAGTATCCTAATGCAATCTCATTTAAATAAAACATTAAAAGAAGATTGATGGACGATCACACACATGGTCATCTTTGCACATAGGTCTTTAATGGAGTCATATGGTTGCTATCAGTTTGGAAATATCATTCACACCGGCCAACTTTCAAAGATTGTCATCATAAATCTTTTTTTACGTAACAAATATTACTATTACTTTATATATATATATATATATATATATATAGACCATCTTCCTCTTTTTTTTCCACAAGGTAATACGGGCGGATTTCCTGTTGTGGAAGCATTTGGCTCCTTTGTAATGGACATATTCACTGCTGAAAGTGATCTTGACCTATCTATCAACTTCAATAACAGCAATGTATCATGCTTACCTCGTGAACAAGTTGTTTCTGTGCTTCGAAGGTTTGCCAAAGTTTTACATATAAAACAAAGTAAGGAAAAAATGGCTGGTTGGTTGTTCGTTTTTTCGTCTTTCTATGTTACGTTTTGGTTGATTTCACATGATCACTTGGGAAGACCTGCTCTCTTATTAAATTTGATCAGTTGATCTATAATGCTAATGAATATAAGATATCTTTGAAAAGTTTTTGTTGGGTTTCATATCCTAAATTTCAAGTTTTTGATGATGATGTTGTCCCTTTGATTTCTTTTTATTAGATTTGTTTTTGATGATGATGTTGTCCCTTTGATTTCTTTTTATTAGATTTGTTTTTGATGATGATGTTGTCCCTTAGCTTTTAGTGGTTTATATAATAGTTTATATACTAAGGAGGGAGAAAGATATATGTATAAGTTAGCCAAACAAAGAGATAGGAGTAGTAAGGATTTAGTTCAAGTAAAGTGTATTAAGGATGAAGATCAAAAAATACTTTTCTAAGAAGATGATATTCAATAAATGTGGATGAGATATTTTGTTAAACTTTTTAATGAAAAATGTGAAAAATAAGATGACTATAGTGACCCTTAACACCCTAAATGAAAATAAGGAAAATGTCTGTTATTTATCGCGATTAGTAAAACTAAAGTTTGAGAGGGGCTTTAAAGAAAATGAAGGAGGAAAAGCTGTTGACCTGATAATATTCCAATAAAGGTATGTAAATGCTTAGAAGATGAAAGGAATTTCTTTGCTTACTAAAACTTTTTAATACTATTTTTGAGAGACTAAAAAAATGTCAGATGAGTGGAGAATGAGTGGGTTAATTCCGCTATTTTAAAGAATAAAGGTGATGCACAGATTGTGCGAATTATAGAGGAATTAAGTAGTGTCATACTTTAAAACTATTGAGCGAGTTATGGAGCATACGTGCGGGCATGATACTAAATGTTCTCAAATCAATTTGGATTCATGCCGGTAGGGTAGACTATGGGAGAGTGACATCGATCAGTTAGGTTTGGTTCAAGGCATGTGTATCGCCGGAGACAACGTAGATCGACGGCTACGATTCAGAGTCTTTTACTTTTGATGTATCTTTAATAGTTTTAATTTAGTTGCATTTTCATTTCCCAGTTTAACCCCTATGGGGAGTATAGTCGTATTATAGCCCAAAGGGCCATTTGACGTACTTTTATTCTATTGTTGGAGACCTATATATAGTGGTCTCAGACTATAACAAGACTAATGATATTTGAATGAAAATTGTTGTTTTTTCTACTTCTCTTCTTTGCATGAGAAGCTCTTAGAAGGGAAGAGAGCTCAAGGGGAGCAATTCGCACAAAGGCCCACCAGTCGTGAAGAGTCCGCCTGCTCGTGGTTAAATTCTTCTATCTTTTCTTTTGTTGTTTTCCCCATTCCTTCCCTTCCACTACAAGAAATCCCTCTCAACCCCCATGCCGCCGCCCCTTGCGGAACCCGCCGCCCAACCACCACCTCAACCCCGGCGGCCACCTTGCCGGCAACTTCCCCTCACCCACCCAACCCCTTCCCTACACAATTTTCAAATTAAAATTTGAAATTTCAAATTCGAATTCTTTCCTAATTTGGAACTCCAAGTTAGGAAGGTTTTCTGATGGAATTCAATTTCAATTTGATTTAGATTGGAGTTATGAAACCTATTGCCACGTCATCATCCTAAATTGGAAGCCTTTTTTCCCTTGAATTCCCCTCTCTCCCTCTATGCATCTGCCGGCCCCCCATTTAGAAATTCCATTAATTGCTTATTTAATGCCTTGATCGTTTTGAAATCATAATTTGATTTCAAAGATTTTTTCCCTCCTAAGTTACTTAAAACTGAAATTAACTTTCAGTTTTAAGAATTTTTAAACCTCCTTCCTCTAAGAGCCGCGCCACCCTCCTTGATGAGCCCCATTAATTGCTCATTAATCCCCCTTAATTACATTGAAATTTGAAATTCTTTTCAAATATTCCCTCCAAATTTACAACCTGAATAATTTCAGATTTAAGTGACTCTCTTGCTACATTCACCCAACCTAAATCCCTTCTCACAAAACACTCGCCTCTCCCCACCGTGGCCGAACTCCCCCTTCCCCTTGGAAATCCCGCCGGCTCCTCTCTCCTCTTCCTCCTCCCAATGCAAGGACCTCCCTCACCGCCATTTAATACTCTTCTCCTTGAAGGATCTCCAACGACAAGCATGTATGGCGGACCCGGAGTTTGAGTGGGGATTAGTATTCAACGCCGACGGAAGCCTTAACATTCCTACGATCCCCATTCTTTGACGTGGGATTTGAAGACGACTCCACTGTTGAGAGTATTTGGAACGACTTGAGTGTGAAGTGAGCAAGGTAACTCATTTGTGAATATTTTCAAATATTAGCCTGGGATTCTATTTTACTCCGCATTTGCCTTATTGTGATAATTTCGAGAACGCTATCTGCTAATTGTGCCTAAACAACTAGTTGTAGTTGCTTATCATAACAACTTTAACAATTGAGAATTCTTGAACCTCACCTTACGATATTTTAATCTTAAAATTAGTATACTTTGTGATTCGTTATAAATTTCATGTGCAATTTTTTGATTGTTTAACATCAATGGAAGCCATACATTTATTAAGAAGGTTTGATGGAGAAATATAGAGAAAATAAGGAGAATCTACATATGATTTTTATTGATTTAGAAAAAGTATATGATAACGTTCCAAGAGAAGTGCTATGGAGACTTCTTGAAAAGAAAGGAGTTAATAATGCTTATATTCAAATCATTAAAAGATATGTAATTGCGGAGCTATACTTGTGTTCAAACACAAGGTGGTTTGACCAAGTATTTTCCTATTTCGGTTGGGTTACATCAAGGATCAGCCTTAAGCCCATATCTTTTTGCTTTAGTCATGGATGTTCTCACTAGACATTTGCAAGAGGATGTACCTTGGTGTATGCTTTTTGCTGATGATATTCTTCTTGCTGATAAGACTAGAGAGGGAGTTGAAAGTAAACTTGAATTATGGAGGTCAACATTAGAGACTAAAGGTTTTCGCTTGAGTAGATCTAAAACGGAATATTGAGGGAGTTGAAGGTAAACTTGAATTATGGAGGTCAACTTTAGAGTCTAAAGGTTTTCGCTTGAGTACATCTAAAACAGAATATATATGGAGTGTCGTTTTAGTAGTAATAGACCTAGTGAGGGGATTGTGACTTTGGGTGATCAAGTCATTAAAAAGAATACACATTTTAGATATCTTGGATCTATTATTCAGAGTGATGGTGAAATTGATGGAGATATTATCAGCAGAATTCAAGTTGGATGGTTGAAGTGGAGGAATGCATCGGACTTGGTGTGTGATAGAAAAGTACCCCTCAATAAGGGAAAATTCTATAAGATGGTAGTGAGGCCTGCAATGGTTTATGGTATTGAATGTTGGCCATTAAAAGAGAAGCATAATTCTTTGTTAAGTGTGGCAGAGATGAGGATGCTCTGGTGGATGAGTGGCTTTACCCTTAGAGATAGGATACGAAATGAGCATATACGTGAAAAGGTTGGAGTAGCTCCAGTAGAAGATAAGATTAGAGAGAGTCGCCTTAGATGGTTTGTTCACATAAAACGCCGGCCTTCCAATGACCCGGTTAGGAGAGTAGAGATATTAGATTTTGACTTATGTTAAGAAAGGTAGAGGCAGACCTAAAAGACTTGGTTAGAAAATATTAGCTATGACCTTTCTTTATTAGATTTAAACGAGAATTTGACCTTTATTAGGACATAATGGAGAAAAAGGATTCATGTAGCCGACCCCACGTAGTGGGATAAAGGCTTGATGTTGTTGTTGTTGTAGATTTGTTTTAAACATCCTTGCTACGAAAAATTTTTACATGATTACCTCTTCCTTAGATTTTCTTCTTCCTTTATGTGTTATTTCCTTTACCAAATAAAGATTCTACACTGAGACAACAACTTCAGTATTAACCAAATTTTATTAGTAAGCAAAATAAAAACTTATGTAATTTACTCAGCAGCAAACCTTTCTCTCCCACTGTCGTTGCTCCACTTCACCCAAACCCCACTGCTGAACTCTCAGAGCATTGCCGAGTTGCTTTACAGGAATCAGCACTATCCTTCTTCACTGCACTGAATCGTGCTTACAGTACTCGTCACTCTGACGTTTCCCTCACACCGCTACAGAACTTCACAAGGCAAAGCTATATATCTTCAAAACAATGCTAAACCCTCTGTTCACCACAGCCATTACCCGATTCTCTCTTCAATACCAATTCCGTAATTGCCCTCCTCCCATTCCAGCTTGCTGCGTGCGTGAATTCCAAACCGAAGGAAAAATTGGATGAGAAGCACAACACTTATCACTGCCTCTCTTTCACTTTGCTTCCCACAACCAACTATACCCACTTGCATGCGTAAATTTAAATTGAATTAAAGGGACCACAAAAGATAACTAGTACATTACCATTCAGTGCCAGCTTCTGTTCAGTGATTAAAATATTAGGAAATACTTAATTTAATCAAAACTAGTACTTAATATAATTGCTAATTCTAATTTAACAGTAATTAATTATGAGAATAAGATAATAATTTTTCTTTAAAAAAATTTTTATTATCTTTACCTGAATTTAGGGTGTTACAATTTGTCCCTCATTAGAATTTTTTCCCCAAAATTCAACTTTTATACTTCTTCCAATAGGTGAGGAAACCTTTTGTCTTATGTTTACCTTTTTTTCCCATTTTGCCTGTTTTACTGACTTGTGATTCCATTTTACCTTTACAAGAAGAATCATTCTGCTTCTTAGTTTACGACCATCTCTTTCTAATATACTGTTAGGTTCTTCGATGGTGCAATTATTCTAAAAATATTGCAAACTATCTTTTAAAAATTAAACTCATCATAGCACGATTCTCTCAATTGGGCTGCTCTGCCTATGGGGGCAGAGTTGTAAGTCCTATGTTTCAAGTTTAATCCTCATAAGAACTAGAGTTGATGAGACTGGAACCTCACGAGGGATGTTCGAGCAATAAATTATAAATAGATCGCAATGAAAGAACAAGTTTAAATCCTATTCTCATTGTAAGTTAGTAAATACAAAACATGTGCATACAATTGCAAAATCCACGAAGATATTTTATTTTATGTTCGTATTAAGCTTTCAAATTCTCTTTTGAAAACAATTCATTTCAAATTACAAACTCTGATATCACTTCACTTATATGGTAGTTTGTAAAGTTAATCTTTAAACCTAAGCCTTTGTAATTAATAAGGCATAGTTGAAAAGCTCAAAGCAATCAGGTGCAAACATATCACCCCGATGATGATCATGTAATAGTGAATCTTAGTAAGATCGAATTCTATTTTCAAAATGATCTCAAATTTTAAAATAAACTATTATGGGCCTAATTTTATAAAAAATTTAAAAAAATAAGGAAAAATGATTTATCTACCCTCAAAGTTTTAAGTAATAAAATCATTCATCCTCCACAATAGTTTGTTGATAACAACAATTTAAACTTTGACTTTAGCTTATAAAGAACTAGTATCATATCAAGTGTATTTCTATAATAACTCACAAAATATTTCTCACTAGTAAGAACGTGGTGCACCGTCTAATCAAGTGGTTTTTCTGTCAAATGACATCATTAAATAATGGCTATGGTCATGGTGGTGGCCGTGGCTTTTTGATCGAGTGATTTCATTTCAAAATGACACTATTATATTACGGTCATGGTTATATAGCCTGGATGTTTCTCAATGACTTCAGTCCCTTTGGGTTGTGAATAATAAGGTGCATTTGATAGGGAAAAAGCCTTATGCTAGTTTAGATTGACTTAAAATTGTTCCCTAAGACTAATATCCAACCGAGATATATATGGTTCACTTGAATAATACAATCCATGGATGTCTGACATAGATCATTTGTTCATGTAGTTCGACTACCTCAACCTATTAAGTAGACCAGGGTTTATGATAATTTAGGATGATGAAATCATGATATCTTGATTGGGTTCGTTGCTTTGCCCCTTACCATTCTCTTTTAGCTAACCATGGTAAATCTGCTTAATTCTAAATCCTAAAATTGTTGCTATTATACGCTAAATATTTGATGCATATTGACTAGCCTTAATTGAAAGTTTTCTCTCCTCTCTGGGAGAGGTAATTAATTTCATTCCCTGCAAAATGAGGGTGAAATCTTTGGTTGGTGCTTTATCTACAATCCAATCCATCACGATGCTGCTTAAGAGCTTGGAATATTAAGACGGGTACAATCGGTCGGACGGTTGTTTAATCCTTTCCGATTAACATTAATAGTAATCCAACAAAAAGTTATTTTAAAATATAAAGAGCCACAGAACCACAATATTTTATTAATAGTCAAATCATATACAAAACAATTCTATTTCATAAATATTAAATAAAGGAAATGAAGTAATATGTATATATGATTAGTAAATACCTATTCTCACTCACTTTTTTGTTCAATACACAAATCCCTCTTTGTCATTTATTCAATTTTGAGTTCACACAACAAATGTCATGACTAATTGCAACTCTCGGATACAACAATTTTAAAAAAAAGCCAAATGTAAGTCATTATCATTAATCATTAAACATTTCATTTAAAAAGAATTTAAACAAGCATGCTACTCATATAAAGTAAAGATAATATCATTGGGTAGAATTGAACATTTTGTAGTGAATTTATTATGTCATATTTGGTTGGAGTAGCTCCAGTGGAAGATAAGATTAGAGAAAGTCGCCTTAGATGGTTTGGTCATATAAAACGGAGGCCTTCTGATGACCCGATTAAGAAAATAGAGATATTAGATTTGACTTATGTTAAGAAAGGTAGAGGTAGACCTAAAAAGACTTGATTAGAAAATATGAGAAATGATCTTTCTTTATTAGATTTAAACGAGAAATTGACTGTTAACATGACACAATGGAGAAAAAGGATTCATGTAACTGACCCCACGTAGTGGGACAAAGGCTTGATGTTGTTGTTGTATCTTTCTTTTTATAAAACAACTGCCTTAGTAGCATTGTTTAAAATTTGTACCAATTTATGCGCAATCATTTCCATTCTTATTTTCTTTTCCAAACCCTTTTCATTTTATGCATGCGGGTATATTACATTCCTAGTTAGTTTCATAAAGAGTGAACTCCATCATTTTAACATGCATATACATTTTCTTTTATTATATTCCCTTGACTCATCTTATCTTACATTTACATTTAAATTTGTGTATATACATGTGTTTCAATTAGATGCATTAACATTTAACATTGATCATAATATGAGAATAGTTATCTAAGTAAGTGAAAGAAATCATTTGGTTATTTTGTTAATAAAAACTAGCAATGAACATTGTCAAATATGTATTTAAGAAAACATATCAATCAATGCATTAAATCATAGAAAAGAATTCAACTATAATTTTTTATTTCTTTGGTTGATTTTTATATGCAGCTTCCCTTAGCCTATCACCTCAATTGTACGCAAGTAGAGAAACCACTTCATCTCTCACTCTATTCTCTTTCACCCCAAGTGTTAACCTGTTGATAGCTTTCTCCAATTTTTTTTTTTAATCCAAAAGATGTCTCGCTTTTTGCTATATCAAAAAATTTCTAAAATTCAATTTAGAAAATAATCATTACATTTAGAGTTCTTATTTCCGTTAATGACAACTAGGACAATTAGTTTTGGTGTCTACAACTTACCTTAATTTGAAATTTTGATTCAATTTCTTTGTAATCAAAATATTATTCTAGGCTTATAAATATGAAATAATAATTATTCTAAATTGGTCTATTCTGATTTCTTATTTAGAGTGAAATGAATTGAATGCATTCTCAATACCTTAACTCAATTTTTTGAAATAATTGTCCAAGTTGTCACCTAAATCCTATTCGGCTCAGTCTCATGACTGCTCGATACCTCCAATCTAAACTTCGCAGAATTCCTTCAATAATTAGAAATTAAATCTAGGGTTTATGACTTTAGAATGATAAAAATATGTTAAGCTTTACTTCTATTAGCCTTTGGTTCTCACACACGAGCACAATTGCACCCTCGAGCATAGCAACACACATGAGCACAATCTGCTTAATCTTCCTTTCTTTGTCTCTTGCACATGAGCTCTTGCTTTGGCTAGTTGCATTCGCCTTGCCCTTGGTTTCCCTTTTTTGAACACGACATTGTCTTCTCTCTCTCCCTCTTCATCTTTGTCTTAGTGGCTTTTGCTTGCTCGATCCCTTCGTCTCTCTGTATGAGATGAAATTGCATCTCTCTCTTTTTCTATGTGTGTGTGGATTGTTCACTTCTCTCAATTCTAGCTTCATCTTTGTCTCTTGTGTTTTTGTGTGAGACAAAAAAGACTTGTTGGCTCCTTTGAAACGATGTAGTTGGTTCAACATAAATACTTTTTTTTACTTTAACATAATCCTTCTTTGAAAAATTTGACCCGAAATCAAATTCTCTAAAAAGTTCCCGGCACGAAATTTCGGAGCCCACAAATGGTGTTGACATGGTAGCTGAACAATTGATCAAAATGTGTTAAAAATGATTATACTGTCAAAATATAATGTTCGTAAAGTTTTGGTAAAGTGAAATAAATGTATATGTGGGGCTAGAATAGATAATACTTTGTTTTAGAATGAATACTTCGAAGTGGAATATTGATTAATTTAATTTGTAAATGTCAAAGATTTGAGATTAGAAGAATATTTTGTTAGAGCAGATATAGATTATTATTATTATTATTATTATTTTAGATATAGATTATTTAATAACATAGATAATAATGAAATAATGTTGTAAGGCTTGTTGGTGATTATAACTGGTAAATTAATGCGATTTGATAAAGTGTTCCACTTAGAAGTTAAATTATGTGTCTGATTAATGTATTAATATTGCTTTAAAATATTATTTCCTAATAAATGTTTACTTTCGCCGTCTTTACCTTCTTCTGCTCCTATGGTTTATTTTCTGAGTTCATTTTAATTTTGATGTATATATATATATATATTCTTGTAAATTTGTTTTAATTGCGATAATAATTTGTTTAAGTATATTCTGATTCAACCTTCTTTTCTTCTTATAACTTATAAGTTATTTAGTTTATTTTTGTTGTTGAAATATTATAGTAGTTTTTTCACTCTATTGTTTCCTAATAAACCTTTATTTTCTATTGCATATTTTTAGTTTTCTTTGTACGTGATGATTTTTTAACCTTGTTGTTTCTTATTTTTCATTGACTTCTGTCATAGCTAATCATTCTGCGGGTGCAGGGAAAGGTCATCTTTCTGGTGTCTTGCCAATTCTGCAAGCCAGAGTGCCAGTTCTAAAAGCTGTAGATTGCAGGACCGGTATTGAATGTGATATATCTGTTGAAAACAAAGATGGAATTTCAAGATCGTTATTTTTCTCCATTGTTTCTTCAATTGATGAAAGGTTTCGCATTATGAGTTATTTGGTATTACAAGTTCCTTCAGAAATGTTCGCTCTTGCTTTCATCTTTGTTCTCCATCTTAGAATTCATTCTTGCAAAAATATCCTTATGTTACTATAGAGTTTGCATGCTCCTAGAGGACCATTGTGTGTTATCTCTGACATTAGGTCAGATGCTTGGACACTACAAGACATCATTTGGGCTAGTTCATTTACTGGTCCGATTTTTCTTTCCGTAAAGAAATTCTAACAGTTCTTGGATAGGGCATAGACATGTTTGACAAGAACTGGGCACAACTTATGCCACTCTAATATCTGACTATATTACTAGCAATATTGCACTCGGACAATCCCTTTCTATTAGTTCTCTTGATATCATTGTCACTTGATATTACCCAAGGTGCTTGAAAATATGATCAATTGAGTACTTTCATACATATCATACTTTTTAGTGATTAGGCATATGGGCATATAGAAAAATTGTCAGTTATCCATGTATTACCATTCATGTTTCTCCACGTGCCAAATTTTTATCTTGTCTCTACTTCATATTTATTTTCTTATGTCACTTCCAAATTCAATCCACTAAACATTTATTTATCTGTTCAATAAGAGCAGTTGCTCGCTAAATGGAAAGTTTGTCTGGAATGTTTTGAATTTATTTATTTGTACTAATTTTTTGATGTAGATGAAGGCATGGGCAAAAGCAAATGACATCAACAGTTCAAAAGATCACACAATTAACTCGTTATCCATAATATCGCTTGTTGCTTTTCATTTTCAGGTACGAGATTGGGCTGACAGCTTTATCTATGTTGATTTTTCTTAAAATTAGGTCATGTTACTGCTCTCCAGGTTTTTTCCCTTTATAAACTAGCTTTCTTAGTAGAAAAGAAACTGTTAAGCATTATTTCAAGGCAACCATTATATGTTTCATGCATTAAAAGAAGGAATGAAAGTATTCTTGTATATTTAAGATAACTAGACAATACCGTTAGCTTGCAAGGGTTATAATAATAATAACAATTTGTTTTGTAAAGTCCTTTTATGAGTTAGAAATGCTAGAGGTTATGCAAATAAATTTTAATTAAAATACATATAAATTTAATTAAAATTTAAAGTTAATGTTATATTATCATGCTTATCTAAATGGCCATTATGTGAAGTAGTTTACATGCATGATGTAATAGAAATACAATAGTCATAGTTTTGAAATTGAATTCAAAATTAGAAATAATGGCATTCAAGATATGATAGTTAGATATTAGTTAAAATAGTTGTTTCTAAATTAAAATTTGTTAAATATTATTTAAAATAGTTATTTCAAAATTAAAATAACATCATGTCATATTCAAAATTAAAAAAAATGATCTTATGATGCGATAGTTTTTTAATGTGTTTGAATTCAAATTCAAAATTGTGTTAAGTGTTAATCATATAATAATACTGTGAGTGTTGCGCAAGCCCGAATCTTGCCCGTTTACAAAATAGACTACATTGACGTGTATATAGCATCCAAATTACTCATAAATGACATCATCTTGAAGAAGTTGTTACACAAAGGCGAAATGTAAAATGTGCTCCTGTTTGAGATGACACAAAAGGATTTCAAGGAATGCGGCTATTGAATTTTGTGAGGGAAATGATAATCAACAATTTTTTTTAATTTAAAGTAAGTTGAACTAGATTAAATATTATCTAAAAAAACTATTATTTGAATTATTATATAACTAATTGAATATATTTCAAGATAAAAATATTAATATTATTATTAAATTTAAAAATTATAATTTAAATGTACATTATATATATATATATATATATATATATATATGTATTGTATAATTATTGATTTAGAGATTTTTGGGTGTTTCAATAGAGATATATGGTGCTAGGAGACTTGAGTTGTCCACCCCCTTGCGGACACTCCTCTCACCCTCCCTAGTTGCTACTGGTAAGTGGTAACCAAGCAATTGTCGTCACTCTCAAAGCTTCCAAACTCCTAACCAATAGCCACCGCCACTGCCACCTCTTTTAGCTATAAGATCATTGGTTGTCCCTCGTTTCCTCCATACCTTTCTCTCTACTACTGTGTTGATAAAATTTAAATAACAAAGTAAAATCTTCAAATATCTTGTTAATGGTTGTATGGAAAGAAAATATCAACCAATGAAGACCTTACTTTCAAAAAATGCCTTAAATTCAATAGCAAATTACTTCAAATTTAAATCTCGATAATATAAAAAAAATCTCAAATTTCACAAATGATAAAAATATTTCAAGTAAAATCTACCACCTAAACAATAAAATGAATTTCATTGAACCTTCATAGCCGTTTGTCGAGGGTGACAAATTTAAAGTGTTCATCATCTTACAAATTGTCAATGTCTTGTCAAGAACATTTCTTCAATGCATTCTCAAATGATTTATTGTTAATAAGAATGTGACACGTCTCATCTAACATGCGATTTTGCCGTCCAATGACATCATCATTAGAAGGTTATTACCATGGTTTTTTAACTGAGTGATTTTGTTGTTAAATGACTCTATTAAATTATGGAAACGACAAGAGCTTGTAAGTTCCTCAATGACTAAAAATACTTGAGTAATAAATTATAGAGTGCATTTGATGGGCATAAAGGTTTCTACTTGCTAAGGTCTACTTGAATTCTTTCCTGTAGATATTTATCTCAAGTATACAAGGTTCCTGTAGATAAATCCACTCATTGCTGCCAAAAAGAATCATTTAATCAAGTTGGAATGGATTGGCTACCTTTGCTAATTAAGTAGACCATGATCTATGACAACTCAGGATGATGAAATCATGGGATCTTAATCGGATTTGTCATCATTACCCCACAATTCACTTTAAGTGTAAGAGGGTAAAGTTCAAGCCTTATGCCGAATTTGTTATTATTATATGCTAAGCATTTAACTTCTAACGGCTAGCCTTAATTGAAGGTTCACTCTCGTCATCAGGAGTGATAATTAATTAGAAGGGTTTGAATCTATGGAAACCTAAATCTTGATTATAACGTCATCGTGAAATGATGATGAAATTCTTGGGTAGTGTCTTATCTTTAATCTAATTTTTTTGATTAAAATTTGACCTGAAACAACTAAAACTTTTTCAGTAAAGACGTGGCACAAATTTTCGAAGTCCACAAATCCATCATTTGCTACTTGATGTTTATGTATGCTAATTGGTGTCATAAGTTTTTGAATAATTTGTAATTCTCTTTGCTTTAAGAACATGCTATCTAGTGTATAGGAAGATATTATATGTTTCTTTATTTATCTTCTCTAAAGTATATGAGGCAGGGCAATCAAACAAGATTCCCAAACAAAAACCTCATCTTCTCTAAAGTATATAGGAATATATTTATGTTGTTGCTACTTATCAATATTCATATATTGCATATATTGTGTCACAACCCAGTCCGATAAGACCTATAGACTGACATGTCCTATCATGTTGAGTTGTTACAATTGAATCTTAAGATCTAAGGTTTGAAATTTTTCAGAGATCTTCTTCTAATTTAAATTAAAAACAGATAAACATAGAGCTGCTAATAACATCCTGTACTGAAAATAACATCCAGAATACTTGATTTTCATTTATGAATAAAAAGGCATATACAATCACAATGCATGAATGACTATAAAAGCTACAAAATAGAGTAATAAAAACTAGTAATGACTGTGCAAAAATCAAAAGAAGAAATACTTGTAAACTCAGATTAGATTCTTGAAACTTCTATTCAAAAAACTCTTTCCCTTTCTCAGACGCTTAAAATAGAATGCAAACTAAATTTGAGCTAAAATAGCTCAGGAGGCCACAAATATCGATCTAAATTTTAAAATTATTCTTTTATTAAACATTTTCTTAGAATTATCATATGCAATATAACAATTCACTATTATGAGAAGAGTAATATTGCATAGTAGTTATCCAAAGATTCAAATAATAATGTTGAGCAGCTAAATTGAAATTTCATATGAACTTTATTTTACCTAGAATGTAACAGATTTCTTCGATCCTAGACATAATTTAAAGATTCTGGCTCCTTATAACTCAACAAAATTCCCCCTTTTAGATAGAATTCAATATTTTGACCCTTTACGACTCCCAACCGAATGTATTTCAAAGAGTTTCATATTTTCAGCTACAAACATAATCCAAAGGATGGCCCCTTATATCTCCAACAATCATTTCTCATATCAAAATCACATAATTCATTATATATAATATCTAATTCATTGTAGTGTAACAATTAAAGCATAAAGGAACTCAGTATACAATTTCTCAACTTGCTATAACAGTAGGCAGTAGAATACACAACTGAGCGAAAATGTATTATTTCAGAATTTCATCAATTTATCAAGGATCGCACAAAATATTGTTTTAAGACTTTAATTGGACTACAACATTTTTTTAGGTTTAAGATTATTTTATATTCAATTAAAAAGGTTCACATTTCAAAATACTCGGTGTAAAATATTCATAATGTTTAGAATCTCAATCTCTATAACATACAAAAAGTTACACAGTGAAAGTTTTATTAGTGCAAAGTTATTCTCGTTTTTCGATAATGAAAAAATAAATTTAATCGAAAAATTTGGGAAAACTCCGTATCTTTAAAAATCGAGATAGGCATAGTGTGATCTACCTCGATCAAGACAACTTTTGAAACTAAGTCGATGGCTAAAAATTACCTGAAGCGGCCCAAATCCTATTCTTTGTCTCTCAAAATCCCTCTATTGGCCGGCTACCCAAAACAAATAATGGATAGTGGAAAAAGATATTTATAAGTGCAAAATTGGCATAGCGCCGGGGCGCTTGAAAGCACAGTGTTGGGGCGTTAGTTGTTTTTTTTTTCAAATTCCAGAGTTCAAAATGCTGGGGTGCCAAAATAAAATTTTAGATTTCACAAGCATACATTCAGACCCCTAAAACCCGCTTTGGAACACATGCTAAACTTTTTCATGCATACAGATCATTTTTGGACTCATGCAAAAGTGCTCAAACAAAAATTCAACAGATTACCTGATTTCTATCTAGGTCAGATCAGTTTGAACAATACTATGATCCCTGGAGGTGCCACATAGTGTTTAAAATTGTGCAATATAAGGCTCACCTCAGTGCAATTCCAATGAAAAATGCTCGAGGCGTACGCTTCAGTTTAGCTGAGAAGCACCTCACATCATTGGAGTGAGGCGTTTTCTCATCCCATTTATATTTGTTTTTAATTAAAACTTAACTAAATTCTAAGCTAAAGCCTTTAACAAAGCACTCCTTCATTACTGTGGTACATGAAGTAATTTGGAATTGAACTTAATATTATATGATACGTTTATGCAATTCATATATTTTATGTTATTTTGCATTTGTAATATTTGGATTTTAATTTTATTTTACCAAATTTATCACTTACCACTTTATGTCTTGTGCAGTTTTTTTATGTATGCTAATTTGTTTACTTCATAGTTCAATAGAAAATTAATATGCCATCTTTTTACATATTATTTTGGTATTATATAAAATTTATTTTGAACATTTATTTTCACTTTATGCAATTTTTGGATTTTGAGGCTTAAGCCTCAAAACGACTTGAGGCTTATGCCTCAAGGCTTACGCCTCGTCTCACGAATGAAAAACACATCAATGCCTAATTGTGTAATTTTAAACTTAGATTGCACATATGTGATTTGTTGCATGCACTGTTAATGTACTAATTCGTTGGTAGTGTTAACAGTGTCCTTCTAGGCTTCTTGATAGACGTAGCCTAACAACTAGTAATAGACATAACCAATATGCTATAAATATGTTTCTTAGTTCATGCTTATGGTATTTTGAATTTTATTGATCTTAAAGTTTCAAGGTTTATAATTTGAAGAGAGCTGATCTCCAAATTAAAAAAGAGAGAGATCTTGTTGTATATGAGTTATAATTAAGCTAATCGTTCAAGGTTTAAAATCTTATCTAAACTTTTTCCTGCGTCATGGTTCTTGTCAGTGATCTCCAGTCTTGTTAAGCAAGCTATTTGGTGGATCCTTGTCTTTATATCATTGTTATTTGACCTTTTTGGATTTTGGTTGTGAATGGCACGTGGACTTCCACTGCTGCCACCATTCTGCTTTCTTGACACTATATATATTTCTGTTATTTATTCCAATCATTATATCAGAGTTTGTTTGCATAAAACTATTTAACATGTTCGGTGAAGCTTGTTTCCAGAATAATTAATGCTCGTCTGAATTAATGACTAGTTGTCTTTGCTCCAGTTCTTGAACTCTGTAAGATAATTAATTTCTTCTGGAATCATCCTTACTTGCAGAGCAGACTCGAGATCCTCCCATTCTGCCTCCTTTTTCTACCTTACTGAAAGGTAATTGAATGTCAGTGAAGGTTCTAGTTTAGTATTTGGTGCTTATATTTTCTATAGCTTTTTGATAATTCATGCCAATGTTTGCATATACAAATTAGAAGTTGCATCATATATGACATAGCCTCATGGCTTGATTATTCTGATCTTCTTACTTAACCAAAGGCATTTAATAATTGTATATAGCATTAAAAAATGCTTAAAACAAAACGTAATGCAGATTCGAAAAAACAGAAAAATATTAACTTTGGGAAACAAGAACTATCACCTTTTTATCTATTCCCCTCTTTGGGTGTGAATAAAGTAGGGATTGAAAGTAAACAGTGATTTCCTGTTGTTCACACAATTGTGATGGTTCTTGTATGCAATTAGAGAGGTGGGGGACTTCTGCAATCGTGGGATGACGAAAAAAGCAGAGTGGTTGTTAAATAATGCCAAGCTTCTCACGCATGGCACCATCTTTAAGTTGAACAGTTGTCATTTGTCTTAAGGTGTCATGTTGCAGCTTCGGAGAATGGGTAAGTGTAGCAAATTTTGTAATGATGCAATCCTGTGAGGTAGAGAGGACTAATGTGCACCATTTATTAGTAACATAAAGGACCAAGAAGCCAAGCAAGCTTTAATTTGTTGATTTCCACGGCATGAGTTTGGTGTTTTTGGGCCATGAAGGCTACAAGGGAGAAATGGAAAGCAGATTGGAAAAAGATGCCGAAGTGGATTAAGGGGTGATGTTGTTGAGGGAAGGGTTGCAATTGTAATGGCTTGGGTTTGTGAAACATTGGAAAGGGTTGGCTTTAGCATTTTATCTTGTTTTTTCTTAACCCCTAAATCGCCCGGCACAAGGCATATATTTATATTGTTTCTGAAGAGAGAAAACACCACGCAGTTCTTGTGCCTCTAATACTTGCTAGACTTAAGAGGTCAAAAAGAGGGAATTACAAAAGAAAGATGGCCCCAAAGAGTCGGGCCTACAAAATAGAAGATGAAATCCCAATAAAAGAAATATACATCATAAGCAATAAAATAGTATATGCTTATAGTGTTGGAGAAATTTTGTCATCCTCAACGGATTGTATATTTTATGATCGATCACGACATAGAAAATGATATATTATCTCGAAGGTCAAAAATATCATTTTCTATGTACTCAATATCAAAATTTACAATTTTAATTTTTAACAGAGATTTTCTCCTAATTAATATTTGGTTGAATGAGATTTATTTATTCTGTGGTATAGATGCCCCATAAGACAAGGCCTTATGGTTAATTACATCTCAATCATTTAGTACTTGATAAATTTTTTTATTAAACTAGTAATTTCCTTTATTTTGAAAATTATCAAAATATTGGCTAAAATTTTTCATTTTAAAATTTATGATTTTTTTTTAAAGATTTGATCTTTAGGCATTTCAGAGGAGATCAAACTTTAATATGATATTTTGGAGTGGAAGATAAAGGAATGAAATGTAGGAGTGCTTGATTCTGAGGGAAACTCAGAGGTACTTACACTATTCTATATTGGGCTTTACATTTTATAATCAAATTTTGTTTAACTTGATCATTTACATTTAGAATGTTGGGGGTTATATTCCAACAACGTGTGTTGGAGGAAATGCTCGGAATGTGAAGGCTTATAAAGTGATTGAAATCAATAAGTATCTTAGACCTTAGAACTAGGGTGAGGACTACTATGTCAAGACTTGGCCCGAAGAGTCAAATTAACGAGGCGAGAACAGACGATCGGACGGTAGAATAAATTTCAACTAATCTTAAACTATCTCAAAACTGAGAGAGCCGCTGAAATCTCAAAATTTAAACAAATTTTCATAAATACCTTTCATTTGGAGCGCTTCGCCTATGGTATACATTTTCACCTCTTCTATTCATATTTAGGTATACATTTAATACCTAAAAATATTAGAACAACTAAGAGTAAACTACAACTTAGTATGTAAAACTTGCTTTTAAATTACAGTAACCCAAGATAATTAAATAATTAAAACAATATGTATGTGCATTTCAATTCATATTATAAAGTAATTCCATTTTTATTCATTTCATTTCAAGACTTTAAATATTATGCATATTTTTAATTTTATGCATGTACAATATATTTATCTATATCTTTATTCTTTTTCATAAATAATACAGTCGTCATAGGAGCCACCATCTAGTTTTGTACCAATGAAGTTACTCATTTTTGATGAGGTCATCGACAGACATTTTAGGCAGTTTTATCGGCGAAGGAATCGTAGATCGACGGCTACGATCGGGAGCTTATATTTTTAATGTTATCATGTTATTTTATTTCATGTATCTTTTATTTTCATGTACTAGTGACGATTTCGCCCTTATGTAGGCGTAGTGTTTATTGTAGCCCAAGGGGCATATGAGTTTTTTTTCTTTTCATGCTTTGAGACCTTTATAAATGGGTCTCTTCTTGTTGTATGAGGTTAATGTTGATTAATGAAATTTTCTGAAATTTTCTTTCGTCTTCTTGCTTGAGAGCTCGAGAGAAAGGAGAGAGGAGACCTAGGAGAGGCTCCGCCAGCAATACCCAACAGCCCGCCTAGCGAGCTCTTGCCTCTCTCCCCCTCATTTGGAAACCTTCCTAAATTAATTAAATCTGAAATTCATAAATCAGATTTTAATTAACTCCCTTGGTCCCACTAATTAATCCTTTTTCCTTTTGTTGCTCTCCTTGCATGGCCGGCCACCCCACCTAGCCTTCTCTCTCTCTATTTGCCACATAAGCACCCATTAATTCCCCCATTATTTCTCCCTAATACTCGCCCCCTCCTAATTCAAATTTTGGGAGGTTTTCATTGCCATTAATCTCTCCCTCCAAACTAAGAGAAATCTGAAATAAAATTTCAGAATTTTTCTCTTGTTCTTCTCTAGCTCTTGGCCGACCCCTCCCTTGCTTCCTTCCCGCCGCGCCTCAATGTTGAATGGCGGATCCGGAGCTTGAGTGGGGGCTAGTTTTCCACGCCGACGGGAGCATCGATATCCTACGCTCGCCTTGCTTCGACGTAGGATTTGAAGACGAAACCACAGTCGAAGAATACTTAGAGCGAGTCGTCCCAATCCTCGCAAGTATCTTTGACCGACAATTTCGTGGCTACACTTGGACGATCATTGGACGTCATCCGCCACCACCTTCTCCGGTGAATCCCTTTCCGGCAACAAAGTCTTTCATCGCCTTCATCATAGTGGTGCTCTTCATCCTCGCATGGTTCCTTATTCTCCGCTAAAGCCCAAGAGTGAACGAGAGAGAGAGAGAGGTTACTCAAGGTGAACTTCTTTATTATTAATTGCGGGATTCTTGTTATGAGCATTTAAGTGTTTCCGTTATCTTTGAATGATAAGATTGGCTTGGTTAACTCAAAGCACATCTTCGCCTAAACAAGTTAACTACTTTGAACGATTTAATCCTTTACTTTTGTTGGTAATTAAATTTGTTATGACAATGTTTTGAATAATCTTCATTTTAAATTCTAATTGCAATTCCTACTTTGATTCACATCAATTTTCCATTTCCTTTTCCTTTTCCATAACTTGATGTAAAACCAATCAAGAATTGCAAGAAATTAATAAAAGCATTACGAAGCGTGCTACTTTAAGTTTAATAAGTCATAAGGCATGATTAAAAGGATTCTTAGTTAATAGATTTGCCTTGGCATGTAGTTGCAAAACTAAGAGATAAGGACACATTGAGACAATTCAAAATTTATCACAATAATACTAGATATGCTGTAATTAAAATCCAAAGTTTAATATCTAGAGAGTTCACCAAGAGTTACCATTCTCACTCACACTCAGTCTAGGGTTTTAGCGGAGGGAAGCTTTCAGCACACTAAATGCTGCCGCTAAAATGGTGGAGGAGTGGATCTCCCGATGAGACGCCAAGGTTGCATGGCCGGCCCCCACACCTAGCCTTCTCTCTCTCTATTTGCCACATAAGCACCCATTAATTCCCCCTTTATTTCTCCCTAATACTCGCCCCCTCCTAATTCAAATTTTGGGAGGTTTTCATTGCCATTAATCTCTCCCTCCAAACTAAGAGAAATCTGAAATAAAATTTCAGAATTTTTCTCTTTTTCTTCTCTAGCTCTTGGCCGACCCCTCCCTTGCTTCCTTCCCGCCTCGCCTCAATGTTGAATGGCGGATCCGGAGCTTGAGTGGGGGCTAGTTTTCCACGCCGACGGGAGCATCGATATCCTACGCTCGCCTTGCTTCGACGTAGGATTTGAAGACGAAACCACAGTCGAAGAATACTTAGAGCGAGTCGTCCCAATCCTCGCAAGTATCTTTGACCGACAATTTCGTGGCTACACTTGGACGATCATTGGACGTCATCCGCCACCACCTTCTCCGGTGAATCCCTTTCCGGCAACAAAGTCTTTCATCGCCTTCATCATAGTGGTGCTCTTCATCCTCGCATGGTTCCTTATTCTCCGCTAAAGCCCAAGAGTGAACGAGAGAGAGAGAGAGGTTACTCAAGGTGAACTTCTTTATTATTAATTGCAGGATTCTTGTTATGAGCATTTAAGTGTTTACGTTATCTTTGAATGATAAGATTGGTTTGGTTAACTCAAAGCACATCTTCGCCTAAGCAAGTTAACTACTTTGAACGATTTAATCCTTTACTTTTGTTGGTAGTTAAATTTGTTATGACAATGTTTTGAATAATCTTCATTTTAAATTCTAATTGCAATTCCTACTTTGATTCACATCAATTTTCCATTTCCTTTTCCTTTTCCATAACTTGATGTAAAACCAATCAAGAATTGCAAGAAATTAATAAAAGCATTACGAAGCGTGCTACTTTAAGTTTAATAAGTCATAAGGCATGATTAAAAGGATTCTTAGTTAATAGATTTGCCTTGGCATGTAGTTGCAAAACTAAGAGATAAGGACACATTGAGACAATTCAAAATTTATCACAATAATACTAGATATGCTGTAATTAAAATCCAAAGTTTAATATCTAGAGAGTTCACCAAGAGTTACCATTCTCACTCACACTCAGTCTAGGGTTTTAGCGGAGGGAAGCTTTCAGCACACTAAATGATGCCGCTAAAATGGTGGAGGAGTGGATCTCCCGATGAGACGCCAAGGTACCTTGGGTTGTTGAAGCTTGATCGTCTCCGCTAGGCAGTAGAGAATGCGGTTGACTTAGTCTTCCACCTAGTCGTCATACTCCCAGTCCGGTTCGTAGAAAGGGGAGCAGAGAATGTCGATTTCCCCTTGGGAGTTGTAGGCAAAGCCGTGGTCAATCTCAGGATCGGCCATACACCAACGATGAGAATGAGGGAGGAGTTTGTCTTCTTCTCTTGGAATCAAGTTTCATGAGTGGGCCAAGGTTTCCAAGGGCGAGGTGGTAAGAGAAGAGGAACAACCAAGAGGGGGATGGCTTGATGAAGGGGGGCTCTCGGTTAGGTTAAAATTGGGAGAGGGGATCTCTCATAAATATGAAATTAGTTTCAGATTTAATTAAATTTGGCGGGGAATACAAGTGGAAATTTGAATTCAAATTCAAATAAGAGCTAGGGCCTCATTAGGAAAAACCATGGTGATGCCCATTAATGGGGCCGACGACTTCATGAGGGGAGAAGGGGTTATGGAGAGATTTTGGGAGTTTCCAAATAGATCTTTGTAAACTAGGTTAGTAAATAAGAAATCCAATTTAATTTATTTTTAAATTGGATTCATGGCTAAAACTTTCCTTATTTGGATTTTTAAATAAGGAAGTATTTGAATTTCAAATGACTTCTCTCTCCCTTAATTGCTCGAGTTAATTTAGGAAGGGAGTTATGATGATTGAAATCATCATAATTGAATGGGAGCAAGAGGGGAGGCCGGTGGCAAAGGGGAAGGTGGCAGCTAGGTGTTGGGTTGGATGGGGCTAGGTTGGTGGGTGGGCTCGGGGAGGTGGAGTTGTGGGGTGATTTGGGTGGAGAAGATGGCCGACGGTGGAAGGACTAGGAGGAGTTGGCGGGTGGGTGGGGATTCGGTTTTGGGAGGAGGGGAAGGGAATGAGGGTTTGGGAGGCCGGCGGGTAGGTGGCTAGGAGAGGAGGTGGAAGTAGAGGGAAAAGAAGAAGACGACGAAATGCGAATCTAGGAATCCACCAAGGTTGACAGGTATTGTTTTCACCCACCTAGGGTCTCTCCTCTCAAAAACTCACTCAGAGATCAAGCAAAGAAAACTAAAATTTCATTTATAATTCATCATTCCATATAATGCAAGAGGCCTCCTATAAATAGGCCCAAATGAAAGAAAAATCGAAAAGACTAAAGTGCCATCGAGCTACAACATAGACTCAATTCCCCATAGGGGTAAAATGAGAAAACCCAAATGCAACATAATACATAGAATAGAAAAAACATAAAAAATACATACTATGAATCGTAGCCATCGATCTACGATTCCCCGACGATACACTTGTCTGAATCCCTGGTAGATGTCCTCATCATAACCTTTTCCATTTACGTTTACAGTGGCCTGCAAGTGTTTGCTTTTATTGCAAGTGTTTGAGTTTATTGCAAGTGTGTCGTCCTTGCTTGTTGTAAGCACTTCAACTCTTCTATCATCAATCGCAAGAGAACCGTGTTTCATCTCGAGCAACTCGTTGCATTTGTTGCATATCAGCTTCCTTCACCTGTAGGGACTTGTGTATTTGTTTTATATTCAAGTGACGTTGACTGTGAGAGCATTTTATCTGTTGCATGACTTTCATGCTTTACTCATGAACGTGTTATTGCATTCATCAAGGCCACCTTGAGCATGTTCGTATGATAGCTGTCAGTGTTGTTGTTTGCAAACAAGCTAGTATGCTTGTTTGGGTTCAAATGATATTTATCGCTTGCAAACTCCTCCGCCCTCCGCTTGAAGGGCCTCAATATGCTTGCATGACTGATATTGCAGTGGTTAGTTCTAATGAATATACAAAATAATGTGCTGAAATGATCCTTGATTTGACTAATAAAATTAAATAAAAAAGAGTTGGTTATGCAGCCATGCAAAAAATAATCTACCCTCGAAGTAGCCAGGGTCACAAGGAAAACTGGTCTATCTAGAACTTCCCAAAGACGACCTGATATGCTCCAGAAAAATGGCTCTAGATATGAGCTAGTCATTAATGGTTGAATTAAATGTAATGGTAGAATCAACCCTAATGGTGAACTGAGCATATGCCATCTAAACAATTCACTGCCAAATCATTTTGAAGCATGGAGTTTCTAAATATGATGGTACCTTGATACTATATTGCATGGAGTTTCTAGATTACATGTATGTCCTGTGTTGTATTAATGGGTGAATACAATACTTTCACTTCTTTGAACTTCTATTCAAGGTTTTTATTTTTCATTTTGGATCTACCCTTTTGACTTTGAATTAGTTTGCCAAATGGTGATGATAGTTTGGAACTTACATGTGGTAATGCTTAACGCATAAAATTGGTAAATCATAATCAATTATAGGATTCCATTTTTAGTTATTGGTCTTGACTGAACCGTATAATGTGCTTGCTGTCTAATATGCTTGCCATTAGTAGTTATGAGATCAAGCTTGATTTGATAGGCTTTTGTGCAAATGACGCCATCTGAATTAATTGAACTCTTGGTATTTGGTCAGGATTATCATGATTCCAGCTATACTCAAAGCTGCTTTCATAGCTTAATATAAAGTTAAGTAGCTTAGGACTTTATCTATTATAAACGGTGTATGTTATTGTTAAGCTTTTGAAAATTTGGATTGCTTTGTTTCTTGGATTATTTTTTGATTTTTTTTTTCCTTCAATAGATGGAACAGATATCACGAACTTGCGCAATGTTGTTCTTGCGCTTAAGAACTTTGGACGTAGAAATAAAGAATCTGTAGCCGAGTTGTTCGTAGCTCTGCTGGCTAAGGTAAAAATTTGGCAAATTACTTTTGGCATCTGAAGAGAATCCTTATTTAATAAGGGTACCAAAGAAGATAAAAAAAATGTTCAGCTCTCTTTATTTACATCTATTATCGCATTGTCTTCTATGTTCTGGTTGGTCATTCCTGCCACAATCTTATCCCTTCATGCTTTGCTTTTCAAAATTTACAGTATTTTTACGTCTACATTTTAAATTTTGTTCAGTTATCATCTGTCGAAAAGCTGTGGGAGCTTGGTCTCTGTGCCAGCATTTTTGAAGGATCATGGATATCAAAGATGTGGGGTTCTAAAGTCGGCAATATGAGTGTAAAATCACTATCATCAACATTCATAGATATTATAAAACTTCATCCAACTCCTGCCTGAAATCCTGTTTCTTGAATAATGCGCTCAGGTTGAGGATTTTCTGGATCGTTCTCAAAATTTTGCAAGGTCAGTTGGGAAATTCGAGATGCCCAAAATCTACGATTGTCTTCGCGGGTCACTCGAGCATCTATCTCGTTCCATGCAAGGTCAAATCGAATTATCCGCTCTTGGGCCTTTCCTATTTGGATCATTCTCTTTCAATGCTCAAATCAACCATATCAACAAATCAGCCATGATTGTCAACAAGAACCTTCCAATTCAATCTGTTCAGCCAATCGCTGATAACATTAACAAAAGCAATCATGACAATAGGAGAAAACAAACATATAGTGAATCTGCTCAGGCTTCTGTCGACGCCATCACTACAACCAATCTTTCCAACACCAATATGGCGATGACACTAAAGAGGAAACTTCCTTCTAAACTTCCTGGCATTGAATCTAGTGAGCCTCATATAAAAAGGATCACTCCAAAGCGGGCACGCTATGCTAAAGCTGCAGAAGCTTCAAGTTATGGTTCTCATCGGAACCAATCTACTACTTATTTGCCTATTCCTATAGTATATCCAGCCCTGCCACCACCACAACCCATTAATGGAGTTGGTCATCCACATGTTTCATTTGACTCGTCAGGTTATCTATCCCATAGCAATTCAAACCAACCCATTTATGCCAATACAGGTCATGGACCACATCATAACCACTTGATTTATGCATCACAATACCATCCAACGGCTCCTGTTCACCTTGCATATGGATCACAAAGGCCCCAGTATTTTCCAAATCCAGTGCATCCTAAATTTCCTTGGCACACTATGCATAATACAGGGCAACCCCGGCCCCTTGATCCTCCCAGATGGCTTGGACCGAATCATTTATAAGTTATTTTCCTTGCTGCTTTCCAAATATATTTGACTACAAATGTAGTGGATAGAATGTACATTTTGTGTTCAGTGTTTCTCTTAATGATCACATGTGTCTCTTGCAGGAGAAGTCTCTTTGGCTCTCTTTTGCAACAAGTTGCAGCCATTTTTTAATTAAAGGTTTGGGTTATTTTGGATGATATTTAATGTTTTTTTCTTTTCGTTGTGCACTATTAAATCATTTTAAAATTTATGAATAATGAGAATGGGTTGCATCAAACTTTTTTATACAATGGAACTATTGAAATAGCACATTTTTGTTATTTGGCCTTCTTTATCTCAAAGATTGCATATTTTCTCGAAAATAATACCCTCTGCAGGGAAAATTTATTTTGGGCGGATGCCCGACGGCGTTTGGAGGCCAACCAGAATGTGTCACGTCACCTTTTTACTCGATATCGGTGCTCATTACAGCTGTGTACCGGGTGATGTGCCGCATTTTGATTGATCTCTGAACCATCTGGTGTCTGCTCTGCATGAGAAATTTGAATAAATTGTTCGTTCACTCTGATTTCCATTTGACATCTCATTTATGCTTTCTATTATCCCAAGTTATTATTATCAACAAGCTCATACACCTCAGAAATGTTTCATGGCTCATAGCAAGTAATCTTGTTGCCTTAAGGCATGTCTTTTTCATTTAGGTTTCATTTGGGACGGCTTTTTTATTGATTCTTAAAATAGTTTTTTTAATACAAAAATTTTAAAAAGATGCTTTAAAAAGTAATAAGAAAGTCGTCCCAAACAAAATCATAGTTGTAAAAGCTTTTCAGGAATTCTCTCTCAATTAATTTAAATTAAGTGAATTCAATAAACCAATTCATGAGCCTCCTTGGGAGTTCATGCTTCTGCAAGACTTGAGAGAGATGAGTCTTAGGGACAGCTTCCATTTTGTGGCATTAGAAATATAGCTTCAACCTTAACAGTTACAGCTAAAGTATGAGTATTTTTTGCTGATAGTATTTTAACTTGGCTTTGCTTCATTGAGGCTCTTGTTAAAAGAATAAAGTAGATCTTTCTTAGCTGTTGGATAAATGAGGATGGGAGTGGAGGTAAGTAGGTCATTAATTATTGAAAAGTTCTCTCATATTTATGTTAGATTTTAATAGCCTTGAAGAGGAGAAATTATTCAATGCGGACACTGGATTGTCCGGAGGCCAACTAGAATGCACCACATTACCTGGTACCAAGCAAAAAAGTGACGTGACATGTTATGGTTTGTCTCCATACATCGTCTAGCATCCGCATAGAATAATCTTTCCTTGAAGAGTGGCACATACTTTTCTTTTGATTAACAGATAGATTGATCAAGTTGGAGAGCATTTCGATTAATTTTTTAGATTTTATTTTGGACAATTTTCTTATTATTTTTAATAATAGTTTTTTATCACAATTTTTTTAAAAAATAGTGGCAAAAATTGTATTATCCCCACTGCTTTAATTTCTTATATCTGCAATAGATAATCAAAAAATTTGTTGAATAAAATCTTAGGCTTCATTTGGGACAGCTTTAAATCACTATTTTTTTCTTGTTTTAAGAGATTTTTTAATTAAAAGGCAATTTTATAAAGAAGTAAAAAAATTGTCCTAAACTAAGCTTAATCAAGCATATTATCATATGAGTCTTGTGTTGTGTCTTCTAAGAGAGGGTAATTCTTTGGTGATGGCAATAATGTGCTCATCACCACTTTTGCTTTTAACTAGGGCATCATCAACAAAAAAATTCATAATTTATTCTTTAATGAAAAAAAATTGTCAAACAATCTCTCACATTTTGTAATCTAAAGGCATAATTTTGTAGCAAAAGATCCCCTTATTAATGATAAAGCATATTATTTTTAATTTTTAATGTGCATGTTTATTTGATGGTATCTCAAAGAAGCATTGAGGAAACTTAATATCTAAATTTTTGTAACATGCAGTATGCACACATCCTCCAATAACCACTAGAATTCATTGAGGATATATATAGATTGCTATATTAAAAATATATAATCATTAAAATTCAACATTTTATTGCGAGGTGTAATGTTTTTTTATGAAAAATTTTAGCATCAAATCTAACATTATTAAAAGCACCTAAAAATAATGTTAAGGCATCTACAATTTTGGAGATAACAAATCGATATTCTTAGAGGGGTTTAATGTCACTAGTGGCCTTAACAACATAACTATCATGAATAATTATGATAGCTATGTTAGAGAAAATTTGAATCCTCCATTGCACAATTACGAAACTTGTAAAATTAGAACAAAATTTTATTTCTATAATCTAAAATGCAATAATTATTATGTGTAGAGTCCGGACGCAACTTGCATTCGAAATCTGATCAGAAAAGGTCACATCAATTTTTATATAGTATTGTTGAGTCATGGAATATTTGCGGCAGTAGGGAGAGATATAGTCTAGCATCTTAATTTCGCATGAAGATCCAGCACACAAATAGATGAAAGATATGTGTGTAACATTTATAAGATACATCAGAGTTTACGTGAAAACTCCTAAAAAGAGAAAAAAATCATGGGGTCTTACCCAGTTTAAATGAACTCACTAGTATTTAGATTTAATAACAAATTAGACCCTTTCTTGGGCTCGATTTTTGGCCCGAAGAGTTTGATCCAAAAATTTTTAGGGTCCCCGGGACCGGTTTTCGACATCTTGGACTCAATTTTAACACTTCCGGAGTTAATCAGGAGCTCTACAGTCATAATCCAGTTGTTCCCAAGTATTTAATAATGTCGAAAATTTCTCATAAGTGGTCACACATATTTTCGAACTCCTAAAGCTTCGACGTTCGAAAATAGGGGGGGGGGAGCTGATATATCATCACAAATTAATATTGATTGGGCATGAATCTCAAGGCAATTTTGAGTTGGAAACTTCCAATATTAAAATTGGGATCATCCGAACTCTGATTTCATCAAACTTATAGTCAAACTGAATATCTTGAAAGACGAACTTAATGACACCAAATTCGACCCAATTTGAGCCCAAATGGGTCCAAATCGAAGGCCTGAAGTGCATTTGGAATGTTCAAACATAAATTGGATGACCAAATGATTTTCAAACATGACATTCGAGCAGCTCAATGAGACGAATCCAATGAGTCCAAGATTGTCGAATTCTGATATCATTAAGGCACTCAAATACTTGATTAATCATTCATAATCAAAGGAATTGATATTGATCATCCATTCAACCACTCCCAATGTGCCCTTGATCTTCTCTCTATTTATTAGTCATGTCACTACCAAAAAATTATAAATATACCTCTCATTCTTCATTGAAGGATGACTAAGCAAGATAAGGGAGGCGAAGAGGAAGAAGGAAGAAAATTTTGAGATGTCTCTTGCCACCAAGCTCTTCCTTAACCACCGTCAGCAGTTGATTGTCGTCGGACTTCCGCCGGGCCACCAACTGTCGTTGGGCTAACACCCGATCACCCATTGTCACCATACTTCCCCCAGTCACCAAATGATTCTAGGCTCACGCCCAGCCATCAATTGTCACCAGACGTCGCTCCTTCTAACCTCTTTCGCTCGCTGGCTATAGTCCTTCCATCCACTGTCACCTGATTACAGTATTTCTGACCTCTGTCACTTGCCGACTATGGTCCTTCCAACCATCATCACTGCCTATAGTCTTTCTGACCTCCGTCGCCCTTCAACTACAGTCCTCCCAATCATCGTCACATGAACATGGTCTTTCTGATGTCTATTGCCCGTCGACTACGATCTCTCTGACCACCATCTCCATACTACAGTCTCTTCAACCGTGGTTGCTCGACTGCAGACCTTTTGACCGCCGTTTCTAGACAACAATATTTTCTACCTCCGCCATCCGGTGACTATGATCCTTCAAACCATCATCACCTACTGAATATGGTCCCTATGACCACCTTCTATAGACTACTATCTCTCCAACCACTGCCACCCAACTACAGTCTTTCTAGCTTTCATCGCCCACCAACTTCGGTCTTTTCGACCTTCACCACCCATCGACTATGGTATTTTCAACCACCATCTCCAAACTACGGTCTCTGTGATCATCGTCGTGCGATTATTGTCTTTCTGACCACCATCGCTTGTCGATTATGATTTCTCTGACCAACATTGTCGGTCGAATATGGTCATATCGACCAAACAAACATGTCAACATTGATTCTTCCAACTCCCACTATCTAATGCAGTTTATATGATGTATATTTGATACATCGAGCCAAGGCTTTTTCCCAAGGAAGGGCCTCATTTGTAATCAATTGCAAACATTAGTTGATTCATTTAAACTATGCAATGCCCCGTGATTTTCTCTTTTTTCAGGGGTTTCCATGTAAAAACTTTTGTGCCTTTTATTAAAGTTACACCCCTACATTTTAATCTCTTTATGTGATAGATTTTTGTACAAAACTAAGATGTTAAAATTTATGTCTTTCTAACATCGCGAATGTTTCAGTTCGCAACAAGTCTACAAACAATGTGCCTTTTCTGATTGGAGTATGGACGGCTACGGACTGTTGTCCGGACTCCACACGTAATATTTTTTCCCTAAAATGCCCTCCTCTCCATGGATACCCCTCATATTACAAATTGTGATAGTAAGGAACTTGTTGAAGAAAGGAAGTTTAGGGTATGTATGTATGCATGATATAAAGCCCTTTAATAAAAGCTTTGTTTGAGATTTTTTTTTATTTCTTTCTACAATAGATTTTTAGAACAAGATTTTTTAATTCAAAAAAAAAATTGTGTTAAAAAAATATTTTAAAAAACAGTGAGAAAGCTTGTCTCAAATGAAGTAAAAAACAAGAGGTTTGGTGGGGATTAAAAAATAATAGAAGATACAAGAACTCATAGAAGGGAGAAGGAAGCACCAAGAATGCAACAAAAGGAAAAGTGAATCATTCACATGATGAATTAAAGAAAATTGATCAATTTTAGTTAATCATAGGATGATTAACTAATCACAATTAGGCAGTGCATGAGATAAACTATTAAGTGTATCTCATTTTTTGTTAATTCAAAGTCTTGTTAAAAAGAATGGGATAACTAAGAAATAAATAAATAAAAGTAATAATTTGTGTAATTTAATCATAAATGTTATTTAAATTTTGAATCAATTTAATATCAATATTTTTATTTAAATTTTTATGAGGGAATTTTATTTATATGAGATATAATTGCATTTATAACATTCAAATCTCACATATTCAAAAAATAATATTAAATATCTTCATTTATAATAATATCACTCAAACTAAAAAATATTCATAAAATTTCAGTTAATTTTTTTATTGAATTCTTAATAAATTGATCATTTGTGTGTATATATATATATAATAAAATTTGAATGGATTTGAGATATTTTTATATTTATTTAATTATTTATTTTGAATAATTTGCCCTTCTCCATTTGTAGGCGGCCGGAAAGTTCAAAGGAAAACGCCGCCGCCTTTGACAAAACTTCCCCCCTACCTCCACAACTTCAAACTCTGTCTTCGTCAATCCAATCTAATCTCTTTCGACTTCCTTCCCTTCCTGGTTGATCCAGCCGCTTTCATGGCTGGATTCTTCGCCTATGCTATAGGCGGCGTCGGCTTCCTCATAATCGCCGCCACCGAATCCCTCTCCGTTGCTCTCCCCCTTCCTAGATCCCTCCCCTTTGTCTTTGCCGCTTCCCTGTCCATCCTCGCCGTCGCCAATTCCGTACTCACCTCCGTTCTCTCGGCGCTTGCCTCTTCCTCCGCGGATCCCATCGGCTCCCCGCTCCCTCTCTCCTCCCTCCCCGTTGCTGCTTTCTTCCTCCTCTTTTCCCTTTCCTCGCTACTCTCTCTGTCTGATCTACTTTCCCTCCCCAGCACCCTCCTTCATTTCCTATCCCTCTCCGCCTTCATACAAGAATTCCTCCTCTTCCGCCTTCGCAACAACAAGGACCCCGACGGCCTTGAGAATCGCTACTTCGATCTTCTGCTCGTCCCAATCCTCATCTGCGCCGGTGCTTCTCTCCTAGCGATCGCCCGCCCTCGATCTCCCTTTCCCCGCCTCGCCCGGGCCGCAGGCCTCGCCCTTCAGGGCTCCTGGTTACTGCAAACGGCTTTCTCTCTCTTCACATCCTTAGTTGCCCATGGATGCGTCCTTCGCCGTCGCAGCAGCGCCAATTTTACCGTCGTCTGCCATGGCCATGCTGACATCCACCGCAGCGGCGCCATAGCCACCCTCCAGTTCAACTGCCATCTAGCCGGCCTCGTTACTGTGGCTGTTGGGTTCTATGCGATCTTGGCTGGGAAAAATGGCAGCGGCGGTGGTGGCCGAGGGATCGGAGGGTACAATCCGATTAATAAGGAGTTGCACAGAATGGAGCATATTTCGACGTCACATTTCACGTTGGATTCCGATGAAGATGAAGAGACAAATATGCCTAAGCAGGGTGATGCAGTCTCCGTACCCATGAATGGTTTTGGAGCTGCTCATTGATGCCGCGCGGAAAGGTAGGACTGCTAAGGCTATTGAAATTCTATTTCCCTTGCCATTTTCAATGCAAATAGAGATGTTCAGTGAATTAGTGTTTTTAGTTTATATATGAGATTACTGTGAAATCATTGTTTCCGAAAGCCAAAACGAAATTTTTTTTTTTCATTTTCGTATGTAGATAACTCGCAAGATCTTTGCTCAGAACAATATAATGTTGTGATTGTTTATACTTGCATCCAAATTCCTGAACAGTTCGACTCCTGCTAAACTCGTTTTGCCGAATTCTTTGGACATGATTTGAGGTAGAAACTTAGGATATTGTTACTTTGGGAATATGTTTTTCTTTTTATACTGATCACTGAAATGTTTGGATATGGACTGTTGATTTTCAGCAGTAATGTCTGTGTTCCTTATGATGTTTGAGGGTGATTTTTGAGCTGTTTTCCGTTCATTTTTTGCACCTTTTCTGTGACATCTTTATGCGCGATTCATTTTTGAATAATTCTGATAGCTAATTCATTGATTCATAACTGTTGCATGTAAAGATGTTCATGGCCGTTTACCGAAGATAATTCATGTATTCAATTCATAAAGTTAATGGTCCTGGATATGTTAACATTGACTTGCTTGACTATAATTAAATTCCTAAGGGATATTTTCTGTCTGCCATATGTTCTTTTATTCAACTTTATTTAAGGGTAATCCAAATTACTTAGGAGGTTGCCCCCTTGGCGGATGGAATTTTTATTCTGTTCAGAGTCTGGATGTCGTCCAGAGACCAACAAAAATGCACGACGTCACCCCAAAAGTGTACCGCACTCGGTACTGCTCGATACCGGTGCTCAGTACCAAGTGGGTATTGGACGGTTCTCCCGTCCGGTGTCCGCACATAATAATCTCCCTGGCGGATGCCATTTTGTCTATTTTATTGAAGTTTTATGGCTATTTTCTTAAAGATAGCAAATTCAAAAATCCCAACCTTGGAATGAATGTTTGGCAGTGTTTCATGCTCCTACCATTAGCTACCCATGTTGACTTGGGTTTGCATTGCAAGAAAACTTAGGTTTTGCAATGATGAGATGAGTACATGATATTCAAATCATGGCGTGCTTTAAAATAGAAAAATTCATAATGCTAGTAATTGAGATGAAAAACAAGGAATTGTTTGATGCCTCCTGTAACAGTGGTGTTAGCTTGACAGGCTATGTTTTTAAGGTGTGGCATACCAAAAGCTTGCCATGGAGAATCTGTGTTTTATGCTTAAATCAGTAACTCGAAATTTCCTTAATGGGTAAGAAATTCATATTGGTACCCAAAGTATTTAGTCTAACAGGGATTGGATAATCTGTTATTAAAATCTGTTGCTCTCTAATTGGTATACCCTCTAATGCAATTAGCAAAGAACGCTGCCCAGGCTGTTGGTTTCAGGGGCGGAACCAGCCTTAACTTTCAGGGGGGGCAAACTTATAAGTAATTGTCAGCAGGGGCGGAATCAGCCTTGATTCTTAGGGGGGGGGTTTATAAATAATACCTCTACACATTGTGTTTAATTCTGTTAGTGGTGCAATCACCTAAAGATCATAATTTTTTTTTTTTTTAGGGGGGGGCGGGGGGCAATTGCCTAAAAACTACTATACTAAAGAGTTAAAAATGGATGGAGGGGAGCAAATTACCTAAATATCCATGTAATAAACAATTTTTAAATTTGTTTTGAGGGGGCAATTGCCCCCCCTAGGCACTAGGTGATTCCACTCCTGATTGTCAGGGGTACAAGGGGGCAGCACCCCCTGGCAGGGTTCGACCTGTATTTTTAAAGTTTTAGGGGGAGAAATTGTCTAAAAACTTTTGTAATAAAGACAAAAAATAGATAAAGGGGAATAAATTACCTAAAGAACTAAATAATAAAGGAAATTCTTGTCCCAAATATTTTAATTTAGTTGTAAATGGTTAGAGATGATAACTATAGCTGAAACATGCTATATATTTTTAGGTAATTTATTTATTTTTAAACAGAATTGAGCAGTTTTACAAGTAGTGTCGCCATGCCAAAACTTTGATAGACTTATCAAGCATGGGGACCCAACTAATTGCAAGTGCATGGATGTACTTATAGATGCGTCTAGAGCCTCGTAAGATAATGCTTAATTACATAAAAGAAACTTGTAAATGCTTAACATTTTTAGCCAGGACAAATTATCAGCCATGAATTACAAGACAATCCATACTTCAGTTCATTGCTAAAAGGAAGAAAAGTAAAAGTTTCAAGTAAATAGTTAGCACGTTAAGAAAAGTATGACAGAGGTTGCATTAGTATGTTCTCAAAGTTTTAGTAGTTCTTATTCTTATATTTTCTCTCTTTGCAAGGAGGATGCTATGCCACCACAAGGGGAAAAAAATCCACAAACTTCTGGTCATATGCCTGCATGAACAGGCATGCTGGGGCTTGAGTGCACGTCAATTTGCACACAAGTGGTTTTAGGTTGGCTGAGTTGGGTTTCGTTTGGGCGGCTTTCTTACTGTTTCTTAAAGCAGCTTTTTAGTACAAAAAGCTACTTTAAGAAACAGTAAAAAAGCCGTCCCAAACGAAGCCTTAGTTTACCAGTTGTAATCTATACTTTTTTCCCATTCAATCCTTTTAAATGGGTTAACCACTAGGTTCGTGTGAGCCTTCCATTACAATAATGGGGCGTCATAGTCAATTTTATTGATCATAAGAATAGAAGCAAAGGAGACTGGCATTGATTAGCTAACAATGGTTTTGATTTCATAGTTGATATGTGAAAACAATGAGCAAAGAAATTGTTCCTCTTGGTAAAACTTTGAAGGCTCTGCGTCATAGTTGTAAGATTTCAGAAGTTATTTTGATATTGGTAATTGATCGGCAATTTTCTTCGTAAAACTTGATAGATACTGCGTTATGAATTGCTCTTGGCCAGGTTAGGATTTGCAAATATCGAGCACGAGCAAGAAGTTTGAACATGACTATGAATCAAACCGATGGACCTAACCAAGCCTTAGTTAGAATGTTTATGGTTGTGTCCATCCCTTATTTTGCTTAATTTTTTTTTTTAATTTTTTGGGGCATAACTTTAAGCTTGTGGGAAATATATGGAGGCATGTTTGTATTTGACACAAATACGAAATGTATTTTGAAGTTTGTGTATCATTATATGTATCCTAAAAGAATCATCCGACTATTTGTGTGTGGTCAATTTAGTCCCATAATATCATTTTTCAATATTTTGGTCTTTCGATTATATAAAATTGATCCAAAATGATCTCCTAAGGACTAAATTGAGAAAAAAATTTGATATGTAATCAAAAATCACCTTGATCAAGCACTAATCTCAAGGCATATTTAAACCAAAAACTTTCAAAATTAAAATTGGGATCATCCAAGCTCTTATTATAGCAAACTTATAGTCAAATTGAACGTCTCGACAAGATGAATTCAATTACACCAAAATCGGGCTAATTTAAGTCCTGAAGGACTTGAATCAAGGGATTGAAGCATAATTGGAAGCTTCAAAGCATTAATTGAGTAATCAAATGATTTTAAAATATGGCATTCTTCTAGTTGAATCATGTAACTTGATAAGACGAATCTAACGAGCCCAAAATCACTTAATTTTGGCATCATTAAGGTACTTCAATGCTTAATGAAAGCTCTATGATTAAAGGAATCAATATGGACCGTTTGATGGAGCACTCTTAATTTGTCCTATGGAGCATGCCAATCTCAAAAACCTATAAAAAAGCCTTCATTCATCACATAAGAGGGAAGAGGAAGGAAGTAGAAGAGAGTTATAGAGAGAACTCTCTTGCATTTTTGAGCAACCGCCGACAACGAGAACAACCAGCTATTGTCGCTGACAACCATCAGCTCTATCGAGAATTGGCATTATTGGCGACAACCCTATTAATGTCAACGAGCATCATGATGTGCGCCAATGATTTGTACCATGTTTGCTGGCAACGATGGTCATCTTGGTTGTTGGCAACCATTTGCAATGATCTTGTTGATGTTACCAACTATGAACATTTGTGTTGGCATCGGTTGTTATCCTTGTTCGTAATGGCTAGTAATAACCTTATTGCCATTGGCGTATGCTGGTATTGGTGTTGATGGCATATGCGAAATTGACATCAGCGATGTCTGTTAATATTGTTAGCAAATGGTGGGAAAATTTTTTTGGTGTTTGTGTTAATGTCGACTGTGTGTGTCGTCTTTGTTGGCAATGACCAGCGTGGTTATTATTGGCAAAAAATGACAATGACCCACTTAGTGTTGATAGGCGTTAGTGTTGGCGTCGGTGGCGTGCTCCGACCTTACTTGTGATGGCATGCATCAATATTGTTTGCGATGGTTGACGACGACTTTATTGGTGTCAATGAGCGTCAATGTAGGCATCGTCGATGAGCAACAACCTTGTTGGCAATAATGAATGTGGGCGTTATTGCCAACAACAAGACTCAAACTCAAGACGTCTTAGTTTGGAGCTTAATAGTTGGTAGCCTAAGCTCCCAACTAACAGATCAAGATGAGTTGTGTAGAGTATGTACTTTGATCGTATTGATTAGATAAACTTTTTGGTAACATATTAATTTTTATATACTCTACATTAAGATATAGAAGAGACACTTTCATAAATTAAGAAACATCAAATAATACAATTTAAATTACAATTTCATCAAAAAAATCAATGAATAATACATAAAAAATAATGTCTTTTGATAGGTAGAATATTCCATAATTTACACTAACATATGTACTTCCTAATGAATATACAAAGCAAGACATACTAAGGTTTTATTTGGGACAGCTTTCTTATTGCTTTTTAAAACAAATTTTTTGTTGAAAATTTTTGTATTATAAAGTTATTTTAGAAAGCAATAAAAAAATTGTCTCAAACAAAGCCTAACTTTCTATATCTTCCAGTAGGGGTGTCAATTTCGGGTCACGGGTCGGGTTTGGGTCGGACCAGAAACTGACCCGGGTTCAAACGGGTTGACCCTAACCCGACCCGGTTAGGCAAACGGGTCGAAAATCCGAACCCGAACCCGACCCGGCGGGTTGTCGGGTTGAACCGACCTGGAACCGTGACCCGAAATCGCCGCAGCGAGGGAGCGGCAGCAGCGCATCGCGCTAGCGCGGGCGGAGCGCCGGCAGCGCGGGCGGAGCGGGCAGCAGGCACAGCGAGCGGGCGACGGCAAGGCAGCGCGTGAGCGCGGCAGGGGCAAGCAGCGCGCGGACGCAGGTCTTATCGGGCCGCGAGCGTGGTGCGCGAGCTGTGGACGCTGTGGCTCGACTCAGACTGCCTGTTTCGGTCAAACGGGTTGACGCCGCAACCCGTTCGGGTCAACCCGACACCCGACCGTTTTTTCAAACGGGTCGATTTCTGGAACCGAACCCGACCCGTTTTTGAAATCGGGTCGGGTCCGGGTCGGGTCTGGGTCAGAGAGTTTTCGTTTCGTGTCAAATTTGAACCCCTATCTCAGTACCAACTCCAATGCAGTGTCAACCAAAAACGCATTGTTGCGGCCTATGCCTTGTAGCCCAAGCAAGAACCCAGAAAAAAACACCAACAAAACAATTCAAGATCTGCAGTTGTCTCTGCAACATGTTTGAAGCTCCTTTGCCATACTCAATAGCACTATTAAACAATTTGATGTACCTTTCATTAGATTGCATTCAACCAAATAGATACTCTATCACATTTCGTTCTCATGCTTGGAGTTCTAATAGATGGAACATGATCAATTTTTGTAGTACATGCACCAACCGCTTTATGAGATCAATCTCTGAGACTTGGCTTCGTTCAAGGTTCTTCATGAAATCAATTGGGCCATGAATTTGACGATCCGCGCCGAATTTCCGATAAACTCAAGTTGTTTGCGCTCCCCATTCATCATAGCATTTAGGACCTATGAGAAGAGCAACAAGATGAATGTAAGAAGAAAAATATTTTAATTTTAAGAGAATTATACATAAATATCATATATATATATATATAATATATATAATATATATATAATCTATAATATATATATAATTATAATATATTAATATATTATATATATTATATATATTATATAACTATATTATAATTAAACATTCAAATGTTATTGTATTTATATATAAATGATACATTTTAAACATCATATTTAAAGCATTGTATGTGCTCACTAGACATTTGCAAGAGGACGTAATCTTGGGTATATTCTTTTTTTAATGATATATTTCTTATTAATAAGAATGAGAAGGGAGTTGAAGGTAAACTTTGAATTATGGAGGCAACCATTAGAGTTTGAAGTTTTCGCTTAGAGTACGATCTAAACCTGGATATTATGAGTAATAATTTTAGTAATAATAGATCTAATGGGAGGATTGTGACTTTTGGCGATCAAATCATTAATAAGAGTACTTGTTTTAGATATCTCAGGTCTATTATCTTATTAATGGTATTCAAATTGGATGGTTTAAGTGGAGGAATGCATCAGGTCTGCTGTGTGATAGAAAAGTATCCCTCAAATTTAAGAAATTTTCTATAAGATAGTGGTGAGACTTGCAATGCTTTATGGTGCAGAATGTTAGTCATTTAAAATGAAGCATAAAATTAAGTTAAGTGTTGCAGAGATGAGGATTCTTAGGTGGATGAGTGGCTTTACTCTCAAAGACAGAATGCGAAACGACAGAATGCGAAACGAGCATATACATGAAAAGGTTGGAGTTCCTCCAGTGGCAGATAAGATTAGAAAGAGTCGCATTAGATGGTTTGGTCACATAAAACGGCAGCCTTCTGATGTCCAGTTAGGAAATTATAGATAATAGATTTGACTTATGTTAAGAAAGATAAAGGTAGATCTCAAAAGACTTGATTATAAAATATTAAAAATGATCTTTCTTTATTAAATATAAACAAGAATTTGACTTTTAATAAAACACAATAAAGAAAAAGGATTTATATAGCCAACCCCATGTAGTGGGACAAAGGCTTGATGTTGTTGTTGTTGTAATATACTTTTTATAAACAATAACAAATCTTTTTCCCATGATGACTTATTAAGATTAATTTGTAAAGTTAAATAAATTAATAAAATTAATAAAAAAAAAGTGAAATATATATTTTTTTCATATATTTTAGATGTAAGTGTTATAAAATTATATATGTAAATATATCAGATTTATAAGATATATATGTAAAAATTGTTTAATCTAATTAATACATAATAAATTAATATATGAAATAATATAAAAAATTATTATTAAATGTAAAGAAAAAAAAAAACTCACCATGGGAAAAGCTTTGATGACCGCCTTCATTCTTTGGAAACCATTAGCCACCTCTCCATAGGCACATAGGTAGGACAACAGCCTCGAAGCCTTCACTCCGATCAGAGGATCTCCAGCAGCATCAACAAGCCGCTCCACCACATTCTCTCCAACCCTCAAAACTCTCTCACAATTCCTCTCGCTCTCCACCACAAGCATCGCCAACGCCTCTCCTGCCTCCATCCTCACATGGCGATCCCGACCTACGTCCCCGCCGGCGGAAACGGCCGGACCGGCGCAATCCAAAAAGATCCTCATAAGTTCCCTCATCATTCCTCCTGTAGCCCCAATACTGTCCCGCGCGGCCTCATCCATAGCCAAAAATGTTATTATCTCAACTCCGATCGTCTGCAGGGACTTCGAAATCTCATCCTCACCGTGCTTAAGGATCTCGCGGATGTTGCTGATTGTGAAGACGATTTCCGAAATTTCTCGCCGGAGAATCTCGCCAGTACGGCCGGTCGTGCCGGCGAGCAGTTTTAGTACTTGGAGCGCTCGTTTTGCCGCCTGGATTTCTGGATCGGTGCTGGGGATGGGATTTTGGTGGCGGATCTTTCGGCCAATGGCGGTGGTGAAATCGATGATTTTGGGGATGAGGCCTTTGGTTTTGCCGATCTTGTCGCAGTTGTCGGGATCTTTTGCAAGCTTCTTTAGGATGAGGAGGCCGAGAAGGTTGAAGGTGGAGTGCTGGTTTTTTTCCGGCCGATCTGCTGTAACTTGCCGGCCGTTAATCTGCTTGAAACGAACAGGTAAATAGCTTCCTCATTGGAAATATAATATCCGAATTTTTTAAAGGAAAAAAAGCTATTATTGTACAGTTCATATAAATAAACAAAAAAAAAATTATTTTAATTATGAAGTTTAAATAAAAAAGTAAAAAAATTGTATTTATATAAATATTTTATTAAAGCAATGGCATACATAACACTTAACTTTTAATTATTTAGAAATAATTAATATTCTTTTATCTCTATTTTTAAACTTTCATTCAAATATTAGAATTTGCAAACATTTATTTTTTTATTTTTGCCATATTCACACAGTTATAAATAAATAAGATTTGAATGTTATTTATATAATTCTCCCTATTTTATTTCTATCGAAAAAAGAAATGAGAGAAAGGGAGATGCGGCTGACCTCCTCTAGCCTGGTGGCATTGGCGCCACTTCCGGTATCCAACAGCGACGAAATAGACTCCATCGCTCCGGTGATCCCCGCAACCCTAATCCCACTCTGTTTCTTCCCAGCTAATTTCGAAACCACCACCGCCGCCGCCGTTCTTATCTCCTCCTCCCCCGAACTCTTCCAATTCAACATCTCCACCAACCTCTCCATCACCGCCACCGACGCCCCAATCCTCCTCATCGCCTTATCCGCAAACCTCAACAAAATCCTCACACCAATCAGCTGCTCGTCTCTCGAACCCGAAACCAAAAGCTCCTCTCCAAAACTCACCATATCCATCTTTATCCCGTCAAAAATGCTTCCGTTTATACAGCGGGAATAGGCGTCATAGAAGAACCGGCGAACCGAAACCAGCCCGGCCGGGCCGAGGCCGCACTCCCGGTTCGCTTCTTCGAGGAGGAGGCAACGGCTGACTTTCCACTCCCAGTATGCTCGCTCGGCGAGGAAGAGGAGGGCTTCGGAAAGAGCGAGACTGTAGAAGATGTTGAGAGCTGGTCCGCGGTTTTGCTTTTCTGTTTCGTCGGCCGCGGCGGAGACCTCGCCGTAGTCTTGTTGGACGAGGCGCATTAAGGAGAGGATGACGCAGGCGGTGGCGGAGATTAGTTGAAGCCAGTAGAGTAGGCGGCTTATGTTGCTTGAGATGAACACCCAGCCGCCGTTGGGGTGGCGAGGTGATTCCCGTGATTGCCCGGTGCGATTTGCTGAGCTCCGTGGATCAGATTTCCTGGTAAAACAACTCAGCAACTGCTAAAAAAAACACATTTCCATTAGGTTTGCATTTATGTTTAAGGGGATTTACGTCAAAACTAGAAAAAACAGGCCAACCTACCTCCGGCGATCGCCACTGACGCCCATCCACCGAAACCGGCAACCCCACAGGCGTCCCCACAACAGCCCCTCTCGGCCCAGAAGTCTCAAACAGAAACCGAAACGCTCGCGCGGCGCCGCGAGAAGATGACCGAATAGCACGAAAGCTAAGCGCGCCGGCCTCAGCCAACGACCACGTCGCCTGATGCTGCCACTCCAGCTCATGACTCCGACTGAATATTCGAGCCCCCTCCACCAGCAATATAACGGTAACGAACCAAAAATCCGTGCGCTGGAGCGCAATTGCGAAGCCTCCCAAGAGAACAACTGTGGCCCATATGAAGCCAAGGGCGCCAACGCCGCAGGCCGCCTTCTCGAGGATGGCGAGCCGGAGGGCGACGACGGTGAGTTTCTTCTCGGGCGAGGAGGCATCGGCGAGGCTGTCGAAGTCGACGGGAATCCAAGACTCCATTTTTGTAGGTATCGTGTGAAGATGTAGGGGGTGATTTTTATAGATTGGGGGTGGAGGGTGATGCTTGTAAGAAATGGATTGGCGTGGGGAGGATTGGTTGGGTGACTGTGAAAGAGTTTGGAAAAGTTGGGTTAAGTCATATTGCAGTAGACGGAAAGGTAACGTAGATAGAAGTTAGCAGGATCTGCTTGCGGCATTTCGTTTGGCTACTCATTTTTAATTTTTTATTTTGAGATTTTTATGATGAGTAGGGGTTTCTTATAATCAAAGGTTTATTTGGAGTAGTTTTTTTTTTTTTTTCCATGCTTTGATTTTTCAATCATAATTATAATTTTATATGACTCCTATTTTCTCTTTAGATTTTTATTTTTTTTGCGCTGGAACTTTTATTTTTTTATAGCTGCTTTTAAAAAATTATTATTTTTTTCATAATTATTTTATTATTAGAGTCATGATACAAAATGAGCATATAAGTGAAAAGGTTGGATTAGCTCCAATTGAGAGAGTCATCTTAGATGACTTGGTCACCTTAGATGATTTGGTCACATAAAACGACAGTTTTCTGGTGACCCAGTTAGGAAAGTAGATATATTAGATTTGACTTATGTTAAGAATGATAGAGGTAGATCTAAAAGACTTGGTTATAAAATATTAGAAATGACATTTTTATTAAATTTAAATGAGAATTTAATTTTTAACATGGCACAATAAAGAAAAAAAATTCTTGTAGCATATAGTGCCATAAAGACTTGATGTAATCATCTGACTTATGAGCAGCAATGATGATGTTTTACAATCTTATTTTTCTATTTCATAAATTCTTAAAAAAATTTATTCTTCAATAAAACAAATATTTTTTTTTTATTTCATATATAAAATTATGTAACTGGCTCCACCAAGCAACCCTGTGACTGATCCTGGTACTTGAATCCAACCGAACTTAATCTGAAAATAATTCTCCGCCGATGTCCTGCTCAGCACCGCCGTCACTTCTACTGTCGTCCCCTCATCTTCTCCTCCCCGTTGCGCCGCCACTCACCGTTTCTCCATCCCGCTCATGCGATCCTCGCTCCGGCGATGTCGTCTCCTGGACCTCCTCTATCGGCCGCCTTGCCCGCCATGGCCATCTCGCCGCCGCCGCGGCAGAGTTCTCCGCTATGCTTTCTTCCTCAACCTCCCCAAACCACGTCACTTTCATCACTCTCCTCTCTGCGTGTGCCGACTTCTCCTCCTCCCCTTTCTCGTTCCAACTTGGCCTATCCTTGCACTCGCTCGCCCTCAAGCTATCCCTCTTCTCCTCCCCCCGTTCCCTCCTCCTCCTTACTACCGCCCTCATAGATTTCTACTTCAAAATCGGCTTCACCGTCGTCGCCCGACAACTATTCGACCGAACGCCTTTAAGAAACAGATATACCTACAACGCCATGATCGCGGGACACATGAAGAATGCTCAGATAAACGAGGCGTTGGACATCTTCCTCCGAATCCCTTCTAGAGATCTGGTCTCTTGGACCGCCATCATCGATGGCTGCGTCAAGAACGGCTTCCCGGAAGAGGCGTTGGAACATTTTCGAAAGATGCAAGTTGAAAGGATTGATCCTGATTACGTCACCGTCATTGCCGTCGCCGCCGCTTGTTCCGACCTCGGCGCGCTCGGACACGGCATGTGGCTTCATTACCTTGCACTTAAGCGAGGCCTTCTGGGAAACGTGCGGGTCGGCAACTCACTCATCGACATGTATTCCAAGTGCGGCCGCATAGATTTTGCCCAGCAGGTATTCGACAAAATGCCAAAGCGGACACTAGTTAGCTGGAACTCCATGATCATGGGGCTTGCAGTTAACGGTCGCTCTGCCGAGGCTCTCCTGCTATTCTCAGCAATGCAGGGATCGGAATTCAAGCCTGATAGTGTCAGCTTCACGGCCGCGCTCACCTCTTGCAGCCATGCCGGGTTGGTCGATGATGGGTTATATCTGTTTCAGCTGATGCAGAGGAAGTATGGGGTTACAGCAAGAGCAGAGCATTATGGATGCCTGGTGGATCTGTTAGCTCGGGCCGGGTTGATCGAGAAAGCTGTAAGTTTGGTCGAAAGAATGCCAATGAAGCCAAATGAGGTTATGTTGGGGTCTCTCATGGCAGCCTGCTGTGCGCACGGGGATGTCAGGGTGGCGGAGAGATTGATGGCTCTTCTCATACAGGTGGAGCCTGATACTGACTCAAACTATGTCTTACTGTCAAACATCTATGCCGCCATGGGTAGGTGGGAGGGTGTGGTTAAGGTTAGGAGCTTAATGAAGGAGCTTGGAGTGAAGAAGAAGCCAGGTTTCAGTGCAGTAGAAATTGACTCTATTGTCCATCAGTTTGTGGCCGGAGATCATGCTCATGCTGAGACTGAAGAGATATATGATTTGCTAGATCTGCTTCACTTTGATTTGGAGTTTTATGGTTATGAGCATACAATAGCTGCTGGAGCCATTGCTGAAGCTTTTTCTGAAGGCTTTATAGATTGAGAGAGAATAAAAAAGCCAGTTAAAAGGAGTTTGAATGGCTACATTTTTTTAAATATGAGGTGCTGATTTCATAGACGTGGAAAGTTGAGAAAGAACACAACTTTATAGTAAGAAAATGGAGCTATCGATCTATATGTGGATTTTAGGCCTTGGAAGGAAATGGCAGCTTGTATGAAGAGAGTTATTTATTGTCCAGAAGATAGTGGAAGCTGAAGAACTTAGCAGTCTGAAAGAATACACCTCGTAGTTTGCTCTTCGGGGCTGTTCGGTTTGGCGCATTTAACGTGCACTGCAAAATGAATACGCCCATTTTGTTTGGTCCGATCCAAAGTAAAGTTACAGCTAAATTAAAGCATTCCGATACGCTCCACAATGTATTTGGGGTGTATTTGAAACAAATACACCGGCTCTCTCTCGCACGAAAAGGCAATTGTTGCTTCCGGCCCATGATCTCGCATCCTGCCGTCGAACTTCCCACATAGCTCGAATCTGTGACCTAGCTTCGCTTGTGCCTGCGACACTCTGGCCGGCTTCCCTGCACAGTTCTCCCACCCGCTATAGCAGGAGAGATTATTAACACTAAAAGCAAGGTGGTGATCAGTAACTGTGCTTTTATTGTTCAGAGTCACAAAATCAAACGGTTCTCTACGTCTGAACTCCGCACTTAATAATCTCTCATGCTACAGCAACCCGTGACCTAGCTTCATTTGTAACCAAGTATCGCCGCCAAGTCACGTCTCGACGCAGCAGCAGCCACATCCTCTTCATCTCCTTCACTTGCGCTAGAGCAAGCTAGGGTTTGAAGGTACCTCATCCGCGCGGTTTCTTAGTATGGTTTTGTTTTATCCTGAGAGCTACTTAGGCTTAGTTTGGGACAACTTTTTTACTGCTTCTTAAAACAGCTTTTGAGTACAAAAAATTTAACTTTTTTATTAAAAAAAAAGCTGTTTTATGAAGCAATAAGAAAGCCGTCCCAAACTAAGCCTTAATCTCATTTTTAGCATCAATATCAAAGGATCATTCTAATTTGTTGGCATCATGCTTTATACATATGGAAATTTGTTTTCAAACTTATCAACTATGAAATAGTTAGGTGCTTCACGCGTGAATACATTAATTTTTAGCAAATTTTCATTTATGTGTTTGAATCTGCTATTATGATTTTTTTTATTATTATTGAGTGATAGGCCATTTTGGTAAATTTTACCAGATTATTTTTATTTAAAAAAAAATTAATCCTTATTTAAAAATATACTATTTTTACTTTACTCTTAATATGTCTCACCAAAAAATAAAAGTAAATCCTCTGCATTTATTTTAAAGACAACTAAATAGATCCAAAGTACACTACAATTCTACATTCTTTTATCAGGCTACCAAACAAACCCCATCATATGAAGTGTAGAAATATCTAAAATCTCCTATAAATTCATTTCTATTAGGCTTCATTTGGGGTGATTTTTTTACTACTTAAAATAATTTTTTTAGAACAAAATTAAAATTTAAAAAACTTTAAGCAAAGAGAGAGAAATTTAAAATTTTTTAATAAAAAAAAAATAAGAAAATCATCTCAAATGAAGCCTTAAATAAAAAAAATATGATCCATAAAACATTTATTTATTGAAACCAAAATATGAGATGATTATCTATTATAAAATGATAGTTATCATAAAATATGAGATGAATATTGACACAAGTAATAAGACAATAAAATTTAAAAGACTTCATATTCAAACACAACTGATTCTAGAAGAATGGAAAACCAATTTTCGATAATTATAAGTAATTAAGCCAACCGGTGAGACAGACAGGGAACAAACAAGCATAATTCAAAATAAACTTTGATCTCAACTACAATAAAGCTGAAATAAATATTTGCAGACAAGCTTAATACAACAGATGAAACAGAGCACAATAATGAGCGATCAACTATGGGAAATGATAATTTATCCAAGAAGCTAAGTTTTGCCTATGGACTTGGATTTTATACTCCAATAAATGTTATTAAATTATACATGTAAATGGCCAGACTAAAGCTCAATAAGCAGAGAGGGATACAGGCCTGTAAAGGAATAGAGAAGCAAGCAACATTCAGAGATCAGCCCTCCCAGGATAGCGAGGAAAAGGCATGACATCTCTAATGTTATCGAGGCCGGTGGCGAAAAGTACCATTCTTTCAAACCCTAATCCAAATCCACAGTGTTTGACGGTGCCGAAGCGGCGAAGATCAAGGTACCAGTCATATGGCTCAAGTGGCAGGCCCATCTCCAAAATTCTGGAAAAAATAAATATTAGGAAAGTAAGTTCTGATACAACTTAGTAAATGGGTTGAGGATTATTACAGGAAAAAAGTGTTACTAGCAAAAAAACTTATCAATCATTGTTTGTAATATAATGAGATCATTTGAGAATTGAAGTGATAAAACAAAGAAAATGGAATTACAATACTAAAAACCAGCTCGGTCGTGCGTTTCCAATAGCTTTGGCAAACGATTTAAGGATAAGAAACCAACAAAATACTATGCATTATGGTATCAAAAAGAACAATTTATGATGAACAAACCGAAAAGCTAAATGACATGCAAAAATGAAACAAATAATAACAAGATGGAATGGAACTTTGGAGTTTTTTAAATGCTCAAGGCAAAAAAAATAAAAAATCATGGAAACACGCATATGGGAACAAACTATAAATAAATATAGTTTTGAAGCATAGAAGAAAATCATAAAATTGAAAATCTGAAGATGAAGAAATTAGGACCCCTACCACAGTAAGCATAAAAGTCGCAAAAGATGAAATCATATTAATAAACTTTGGCTGCAGCTGCAGTTAATAAACAGCCAGTATCTCACAAGTAAATAGAGCAGCCAACTCAACTTATTTCATCTCGATCATTGATGGAAACTAACCGGGCAGTCTACACCTTAAACATGTAAAAGCATATAGCTTCATCTGCAAAAATATTATGGTTGTTCCCTTTTACTCTCTCTCTCTCTTTCTCTCACACACACACACCCATATATAAAACGAGAATAAAAAAGGCCATCCGAACATTATTGCTTCAGTTTTCTCATCTACCTGTTTTACTCTCTCCTTCCTCAAAACAATTACTTTGTTCTTCATTTAGATACAGCTTGCTAAACTACCAGAAGGATCTAGTCTACATGGTATGTGATGCTTCTGTCTAGCAGCAATGCCCAACCACCTAAGTGAGTTGAGCCAAACTCGACTCAGTAACAAGCTCGTGAGTTGAGCTTTGAGCTCAAGCTCAAACTCGAGCTTGCATATTAGACGAGCTTGATGAGACTGGGCTCATCAGCTCGCAAGCTCAGCTTGATAGGTTGGTATTGAAAAAAAAAAAACAAAAATTTGTATCATATATAAAAAAAAATGTTTTGATCTATATAGCCGAAAAAAAATATAAACTTTAATTTCATTTAATGCAATTAATGCAAGCCTGCAGCTGACAACTGTTGTTTTTTGGTAAAATTGTTGTTGTGCTTTCAAAAAAAATCATTAATTGTTTATTTTAAAAACCTACTCATGCTCTTCGCCCAATAAAAAAGCATGTTTGTCATTTCAACTCTCCTCGTCTCCAATGGACGGCTGAGCTAGTCAATGTTTCACCCAAGATCCCGAGTTTGACCCCAGTGTAACCCAGACGATCGTGCCTCCTTACTTCCTCCTCTCTCTGGTGAGCAAAGCCCACGAGTTGGTGTCCAAAGTTCGACTCCAAACCTACTTCTCCGGCGAACCAAGCCCACTGTAACTTCGGCGATCAGGCGTTCCAACTTCTTCGGCAAGGCAAACTCATGAGTCAAGCACAAGCCTGCTGCAACTCCAACAAGCGGAGTTCAAGCTCAGAGCTCGATTTGGGCTCGAGCTTGAGTTCAAGTTTGTCTTTGAGCTGACGAGTCGAGCTCAAGCTAGCCCAAACTCGAGCTCGACTCGACTTGTTCACACCTCTAAATCAACCAGCAACACCACAACTCATTGAAAATATATCCATATTGAAAATCAATGATCCTCCCAACCCCTCTTCAGTCAAATTCAATAGATCCAACATCAAAATCCTTGTTCCTACTAAACTCTCAATCAAAGCAACCCTATGTGACAATCACAACTAAGACTCCTTTGAGCTAACTAATTCATCGGATTCCTAGACGTAGCCATTGACTGACCACCCTGATTTCTGCTCGAACACAATGAACATTCCCAACTCAAACCATCCTATAACCAATGGCTCCTCATAGACCAAACCTCATCGTTACCGTCTATTCCACTCTAACAACAACTATCTTTCCCAAAATTATTCATCTTTACTTCTAAGATATTTAGAATACCATCAAACGTCAATTGCAATTCTACAATCATTTTTGAGTCAAACAACTTAAAAAACGAACTTCATGATATCTCCATGAAAAACCTCTTCATGACTCAATACCTCAGAGGAATAAAATCATTGATCGACAACTACATAGTTGCCAGATCTACCACACACAACAAAGAAATCATACTTTAAAACCTCAATGGTCTTCCAATCCAATATCAAGCATTCAATACCTCCATCTGAACTAAACTCATACCCATCCGCCTTGAAGATCTCTACTCCCTATCATCGGTGAGGAGATCCATTTGGCAACAAAATTAAACAAAGAATATGTATCCTCTTACCTACATAATTCCAAGCCCAAACCGAGAAGCCCAAATCAGCCCAAGAGCCAAGGAACCAAAGTAGATAGCACACCCAAAGAAATACATGTCCAAAGCACTACCTACTCATGATCATTGGTTGCCTTCCATCATAGGGTAGCATAATAAAAACAAAAAATAAATATAGCATCATATTACAATAATACTAAAAAAACTGAAATTTGCATGCATCACTTTCTATTCCCACTATGAGGATTGCAAGGTGGCATCCTATGCAAAATAGAAAGGTTTTTTTTGCTAGATGCATATGCTCCAAAATGGATGACATGTTGATGTAAATCAACGACAATGGAAAGGAAGAGAAACTTGAGAAACAAAACATGTATGCACCCACACAAAAAATGTGCATACATGCACACAAAGACATGCATTAAATCCTTGTATCAGTTTATACACATGGAAAGGGAGATCATTAACAAATGCAGAACTATGCAAACATTATACTATTTTATTATTGGTTGATCATGTGTTGATGTTCATGATGAATTGCCTTATCACCATAAAGATATATTTAGGGCTTGTTTGGAATCATTTTTCTTTTTATGTTGCTTTTTCAGTTTTTAAAACCAAAATATGCTTAGCGCATATTTGAACTAATTTTGTTCAGCGATCTTTTCATAATAGCAGTAGGCTTGTTTGCTAAAACAAAGTAAACGCCCTTGGACGTGATCACCTCTTTTTTCTCTCAAAATACAACTTAAATATCAACTTACCACTATCGCTTCAGCACCGCGTAACTTTATATCAACAATTAAAACTATGAACAAACCAGACCACAACAGAAGTTCTAAAAAAAAATTGACAATATTAGTAGGATTTTCTACATTTTGGGTAAAAGCTTTTGGTGAAGCAAAGATATAACATAAATTAACTCAGATGAATAGGTTGCAGAAACACATATACCTCTGTTTAAGCACATCCAACCGTTCCTCCCTTTGACTCCCCCCAATCAACTCACCAACCTATTAAAAATATAACTGCACAAATTAGATGCTACACAAAAACATTACAGAGCGCAGTGCAATGTTCATAGGAACTAAATGAACTGAGCTCAGAAACTCAATAACAGATTAATAATACACGAGCAAGCTAGGTGATTTCCATCATAGAAATGGACCTACATTGGAACATTTACTATAACTACGGTAGTCAAAATATAAACAAGAACGAAAGCATACTTTAGGTACAAGAACATCCATAGCTGCCACAGTCTTGCCATCATCATTCTGCCTCATGTAAAATGCCTTAATGCCTTTGGGATAATTATAAACAATGACAGGCTTTTTGAATATTACCTCTGTCAAGTACCTTCCATCATTTCACAAAAAATCATCATACCAAAATGTATGAAAAATGAAAGAAAAGGGTAATTTGACAACAATATTGCCAAGATACCTTTCATGTTCAGATGCCAAGTCAACACCCCATTCAACCTTGTTCTCAAATTCCTTGTCTGTAACATTTTCCAATAGCTGTACAGCTTTTGTATAAGAAATTCGTTCAAATGGCATCAGTGAGACATGCTTTAGGCGTTCTATTGCTGTCTTATCAACATTCTTAACCATGAACTCCATGTCTTCAAGACAGTGGTCAAGTAACCATTTGCATAGAAACTTAACATAACTTTCAGCATAGTTCATATCATCCTGCAAAAGAGAAACAATTAAAGTTTGCACTAGATACCTGCAAAGCAGTAGATGTTTCTACTCAACATGAATAGCAACATGAGCATAATAAAGAATAATGAAAGTTTTCTACAAAGGATACTGATTTTCAAATTCTATAAATTAATATTTGCAAATATAAACAAGAACACAATAAAAGAACTATCAAAACCTCCAGATTTGCAAAAGCTATCTCTGGTTCAACCATCCAAAATTCTGCCAAATGCCTTGAAGTATGAGAATGTTCGGCTCTAAAAGTTGGGCCAAATGTGTAAACATTACCCAATGCGCATGCATAAGTTTCAACCTGGAGTTGCCCAGAGACAGTAAGAAAAGCTTGACGTCCAAAAAAATCATGAGCAAAGTCTATCTTTCCCTCCTTATGAGGGATTCCACCTTTCATGTTGAACCGCTCCTCCAATTTAGCCAAACTTTCCTTTGCCTTTGTCAATTCAGATACAGCACCTACAATCTTCTCCTTGCTTGCTTTAAGTGATTTTAAGTGGGAAACTGACTCTCCTTTCTCTTTCACAATAAGTTTGGCAGCCTCAATATCAGATTCTTGTGGTGGAGGATTTTGGTTCAGTTCTTTCTCTATTTTTTCAGCCTCGCTAAAAAGAGTTGTCACTTGAAACATTTCGCCTGCACCCTCACAATCACTAGTAGTTATTATTGGAGTGTGCACATAGCGAAATCCATTTTCTCTAAAGTAGGTGTGGGTTGCATAAGCCAGCTCATTCCTGATTCTTGCAACAGCTGATATCTGAAAAAAATTTGAAGATAAGAATCATCAACGTAGTGGTGAGAACTCTATGAGAATACTTATTCAAAAAAAAAAAAGAAAAAAGAAATGCATTCACATGACAGCACATATCCAACAGCAGCAACAAATTTATCTCAACATCTAGGCCAACTTTATTATTTTTTATCATCCATTCCAATAATCTACATTACTATTAGCATGGGGCTTCAAACTTTGTCATCCCAAAATCTCAACCATCTATTTCTATATCTAATCCTCAACTTCCATTTTTATGCCCCTCCATAACTTAGACCTCTTTACTTGCACCGGTTCATTGCCTACAATCTTGAATTGTTTTGATCCCCGAGGTCAATGCCAACTACCAATTCTCCAATAGCAATGTATTCTTTGTTGTCCCTTCACACCCCCACAACAACAAGAACCTCTAAATTGACAACCAGGCTTCAAAGGTAGTGCCCTCTCCTTCACTGAATACTTCTCTTCAGCTCTGGTAAACCCTAATAAGTGAAGGAATGTCCGTAAACTATAAGGGGAAAAAATGGATCCATATTAAATTGTTGCCGGAACTGAATGGCCAGTTCATTACTCTTGGCCAAACTATCCATCCTTGAAATGAGGAACATGAACTTTCTAAATGTAGTATACTCCCTTAACTTATTTGTTGTTGATTCTCATATCATAAGAAAAGGGGAAGAAAAAACTGCCATCTAATTCAACCTATTAGTGAGAAGGTTGTCGATTGTTGCATTAGTGGGTCATCCATTGCATTCAATATATTCAGTTTCTGAGTGTGGTGGTGTCTTGTTGCATTGGTTGTTAATTATTACATTCAAGTTGTTCGATGGTTTATTTAAAATAAATCAGAGTTCTGTTCGTCTTTCTTTTCTGTCATTTCTCTATCTGCTACTTTATTCTTTTGCTCTTACAACTTGCTTGTTTGCCAGTATTCCTTGCTTTCCTAGAAATCTCTCGGGCCGCTACATCCCAAGTTATACCACTTTTCTTTTCCAATAAATTCATGGATAAACTTCACATAGTTAATACCAGCAGGAAAAAAAAAGGCATTGTATTAGTGCTACCGTATTTGTTCGAGCACGGAAGTGAACGAAGTCACGCAGGAACTCCAGGGTAAGCCTGGTTTTTGGAAGTGGATACTTGGCTGAATCTACAAGCCCAACCTCAAGGACCTTCTCAACCCTAAGCTCCACGCTCTGCTTAACTCCCTCAGGAGGCTTCTTTAACTCGCCCTCCATCAGCACGCTGGTCCCGGTTGGCGTGAGCTGTGCGAGAGAACAGACACCCGCGTCCACTATAACTTGAAGATTCGCAAGGCACGAACCATCATTGAGTTCCAGAAATGCAAAAGCACCCTTCCCCTGCTCCCGCCCCGTCTTCACCCAGCCACCGACGACAACCCGACGGCCGACGAACTCTTCGGCACCGTTTAATATGGTTTTGATGAAGACGCGTCCATGGGATTGCTCCAACGCCGGATCGGCAAGGGATGCCGCTGCCATCTCAGTTGTCACCTTTTCGGCAGCGCCGTAAGCCTCGGCCATGAGAGCACTGCTTCTCTGGAGGAGCGGGAGATGGAGATTTATTCTGCTAGGGCTGCACACGCCGGCTATACCGAGTTTGTGAAAATCGGACCGAAAAAAGAAAAAAAAAATTTCAGGATTCAACGAATTCGACCAGTTCAATGCAGGTCCAATTCAATGAAATGGAAAATAATAATAATATTTAATACATTTTTAATTTATATATAAATGTATAATTTAATAATATAAATTATTATTAATTTATGTTAAATATTTTAATATGGTTTATATGTATAAATTATATAACTATTTTATATTTTTAATTTTTAATTTTTAATTTAAATATTTTCTAAATGAAATAATAATAATATAATATCATGCAAAAATATAAATTTATTACTAAAAAATAAAAATTATATTTTTTATAACGCCTATGAAATTCTTTGAATCCATTGATCTCTTTAGATAATATATATATCCTTAGTAGATTTTATAGTTATATAAATTCTCCCAATTCGCAGTATAATGACATGATTTTAAGAATTACAATTTAATATTAATCATTATCATGTCCTGACTCAATCGTTGAGATTTACGAGTGATCGATGCAAGCTAGCTATCATGTCTATCGATGTAAATTAGATAATGATCTAGTAGTAGCGTAAGGTTACCTGCCTATCTGCAATTTACGCCGATATGGCTCTCATCATGACTTTCGATCATGATGCCTATCAAAGGTGATGCGAATCGAGCCTAATAACATCCCTTCTGTGCAATTTTTATATAACACAAAATACCTACTGTCAAAAGCTGATACTGTCGCAATGCACACTGAAGTAATCTGAGACGTATAGAACACAAAAACTATGTTTGACTCTAAACAGTACGCCACATAGGAATATAGGATTAGTAAATTAAAAGCATAAAATTCCTATTGCTATAACTCTTTCGTAAATTAAAAAGTAATAAAGCATTATTAACATAATTGAATATTAATAGTTAATAATAATTAATTTTTTATTATAATTTTCCTTTTCTTTTCCAAAAGTTAAGTAGTGAAGAATAGAATGTCAAAGAATTTAATTCTTAATTGAGAATTAGAATCAATATTTAAACCCTATATTATAGTTGAGTACTTAGATGTTCTTAATAAAGAATCTCTCAAAACTTTAAAATCTAATGGATGATATAACTTTAGATAATTGAATTAAATCTCTTAAAAAAGTTATAAAATTAAATTATAAATCCATTAATAATTTATTGATAAGAGTTAGGAGTTAGTTATAAATTTATAAAATATTTTATATTTTATTCAAATTAATACTAAAATTAAGACCTATATTTATATAAGTTTTAATTAATACAAACATAATATATATACTTAATTTTGTATCCTACCAATAAAGTTAATTTGTGATATACAATAACATTCTAAAATTAATCATAATTTTATAGATTAATATTTGATATTTAATTTAGCTTATTACTAATTCACTAATTAATTAATGTTAGACTAATTATAATTTTTAAAATTTTAGAAATTATTTAACTAATCCTCATATTAATGATTTAATTATTTATTTTAGTATCATTTATTTAGTTTTAATTAGAATTTATTTAACTCGTACTACTAATTGGTTAGTTAATTTAATTAAATACTTATTATACTTCTATTATTTAATTAATATAATTAACTATTAATATTTAAATTATGTTAATAATGCTTTAATTACTTTTTATTTACGAGGTTGCATAGGATTTGCTTTTAATCTTCTTTCCATTCGTTGTTGTCACTTTTTCTCATCGTCAATTTCTTCATGGCTGCTTCAGTTCCACGTGTTGTGTGCTTTGCACGAAGGGAGTTTGCTCGTTGCTTCACTTTGAAGGCCCAGATCGAAAGTCATGATGAGAGCTCGCTCACTGCCGTTAGCGTAACCTTTCGCCCCTCCTTCCTTCACGATAGGAGCTAGCTAGCTCGCAAGCTTGTAAATCTTGTTATCCATAAATTCTTAAATCTGTCGAACTCGGGGATTTACTAAATCCCGGATTTGCGGATTTAAAGGATTGGGATTTGCGAAGCGCTCGAAAACCATTTGGCAAGATATACCGTAAATCCGAGCTTAATCTGATACCAAACTGCCCCTAAGATGCGATTCTGTGAGTTGATTCCATTTGGCAAGGTGTACCCTCTCATATTTTTGAATCATATAAAAGGAGGAGGAGATTAACTCAAAAAGAGGGACCTAATAAAGAAAAGAGAGAAAGAGGAAAATGTTCAAAACTTAAAGAACAACCGCTTAGATCATGGAAGTCATAATTGATGTAAAAAAATTGCATCAACTTATAGATGATGGATTGCATTGATGTTAGTGGCAATAAATATGGTAGGTGTCAACCTTTGTGATGCTTATATGAATTAATCTAATAAGCAATGCGGTGTGTATATTAATGATGACAACAAATAATGAAGTTAGCATACGAAAAGTGTAATCGGGTTGCAATGGTCAGGAGATTATAGTGGAGTGATAGTATTTATGAGACCTTTGTAAGAACATGAAGACCAAAAGATTGTCTTTGAGTGATGTTGAACGATCGTAGTCTGGTGATGACGATTGAATGATCGATTGAATGATGCAGTGGCAGCAATGGTAAAAGAACTATTATTAAGTGATAGTAGTTAGAGGATTCTAGTTGTGTGATGGTGACCAGAGATTGTAATTTTGTCACGATAGTCTTATAAATGTAAAAGCTACCATCATCATAGGTCCATAGCCCACTACATATAGTTGCATCTTCCTATTGGTTATTACTACCATCACCACCATAGCCCATAGTTACATTGCCTATCACCCATCATCATTATTGAGCTTTACAATGCATTCAATTGACTTTAAATAAAAAATATTTTATTTATTTTATGTTCATTAAAATAATTCTAAATATTTTACATTCATTAATATAATTCTAAATAGTTCATGTAAAAAATACTTTATTTTATCCTGCCGAAATTATAGTCTTTCGTTAGGATTCACCATTAGTATCAAATAGAATGATGGTTGAGAAGGGCTAGTTGAATGAAGTTGGAAGATGCTACAGGGTCACCATGTTGAGATGAACATCATAAGTGTAATAACTCTTAAATTTTAAAAGATAAGTTTTGACCTACACCAATAAAAAAGTATTTAATGAGTTATTATAAATCCAAATTGTAAATTGTCTTCACCATAACATATATATTGTGAAGCTATAATTATATTTTTTTTTCTTAATTTTTAGGCATTACTGCAATTCGTTATGAAATTGACACATATCAGTACAAGTGAGATTTTTTGAATCGTTAAGTGTTCTTTTTTTATTTTTTTTGCCAAATCATTTTAACTATGCTTATCTAATTTATGAATATTTTTATATAATTTTTTGATCCCCAATTTTGAAGATATAAGAGAATATATGCTAAAAATTAAACAATTGGCGTAATTACATTCACGTCCTAATAAAAAAAAATAAAGCTCTTAAAAGCCATTCATGCACATTAGTTTTAAAGAGAAGCATAGAGGGAAGAAAAAAAGGGGGAAAAGAGAAGAAAAATATAGGAGAGCGAAAGTTTATTTCGAATGGCTTCGAGTCATTTTTAGTCGTCGACCAATCAGGTAAGTTATTCGAATCAAGGTATGTCAATTTTTTTCTTTCTCAATATTTGAAAATACGAAATCTTTTTTTGTTTTCAAATTTTATGATGGAATTTCTATTTCCTATTACCAAAAAATGGGTATAATTTGTATTAGTAAAATTTTAACCGCGCAACTTTTTTAGAGATTGAGATTTTGAACGCTTTTGAATATTTTTTATAACTAATATGATTTTTATCGAATTGAAAATAATCCAAACTCTAAAAAAATCCATTGTAGTACAATTAAAGTCTTAACACAATATTTTACAAAATCTCTAGTAATTCGATTATTTTCTAAAATATGAATTTTTGTTTAGAAGGGTTCTTTGTTGCTTGTCATTATGGCATTTTGGCAAATTATAAAATATGTTTATTCGTGCATCTTTTACTACTATTCATTGAAATGTGTGTTTAACTAGTTGAAATGGGTGATTATGTAAAAAATTGAATGAGGTGTAGAAAGTTCTGTTTGGATGATATATGCACATTCTGCTTTTGATTTATTAAACTCTGTCTTTTACTTAGACTTATTGAACTCTATTTATTTTTCAAAGTTGTTGAACTCAATCTATTACTCAGAGTTATTGAACTCTATCTTTTTGAGAGGTAAATGTGAAGTGCTTGTATATTTTGCCTAAATTTTTTATAACTGCATATAATTCTCTACTTAGTTCTGCTTTTAATACTCAATGAATATTTAATAAATAAAATGATGAAATTTTTGATTGGTTAAAGTGTGTCTACTAAGCTGTTTTAGCTTACTGTGATTTTATATTATATTTTCATATTTTGGAAAAGGGAAGGATTTGGTTGGATACAGATTCAAGAATCTAATTTGAGTTTATAGGTATTTCTTTTATTAATTTTTGCATGTTTTATTACAAACCTGATTCAAGCATTGTAATTTTGATGATAACAAATATTATTATTTATGATATTGCTTTTTCTTATTATGTGATATTTTGTTTTATTTTTTTGTGCACTAATATTTCAGGAATTCAATCGTTCGTTCACTTGATATTTTGATAATCTTAAGGCTAGGTAGATTATGGTTACAGTCAATTTCCATTTTATTATGTATTTTCTCCTTTCTTGAGTCATATAATGTAATTTTGTGGATATCATTGCTGAGTAGTCTTGCATACACACAGGGGGAGAGATAAAAATGTTTTTGAGAGAGTTATCTTTTTAAGTAATTCGTGATATACGATATTGGTTTCGTACTGTATGAAGTAATTTGTATTGTATGCTTTTAATTCATATTGTATGAAATATTGTGCTATGTCAAAACCCTAGCCGCCAAAGATTAAGGAAGATACTAATTATGTACTGATCATATAATACAATTTAGTTCATATTGTATGCCCTAATTAAAATCTTTTTTAATTAATCACTCGATATCAAATAATCAAATCATGGATAATTATTGTGATTGATCGTACTGTATAATAGAGTTTGTATTATATGATTACCTGTGTA